CTAAAAAAAAAATCTGTTATTTAGCTGGATCTATTGGGTAACACTGCTGCTTTCCCTGCAACAATAACATCCATCAGCCACTGTCATGGCCTAAATCATCTACACAGCACTAATTCAAATCTACCAGGGTAGGACCCATCCATCGTGGAGTTTAGCACTTGACTGTTGTATTGCTTACAAAAATGACATTGCTGGTGCATAGAGTTTCACCCTTATTGCTAAAAGATACCTTTAGCCCCATCTCACATGGATTCTGGTCTTACATGATATCACGCAGATGATTTCCACTCTCAGCAACATTTTTGGTTATTCCACGTATCCTAGTGTCATCATTTCATGCAAGCATATGCTTCCCCTCTCTCTCTCTCTCTCTCTCTCTCTCTCTCTCTCTCTCTCTCTCTCTCTCTCACACACACACACACACACACACACACACACACACACACACACACACACAAACACACACACACTGGTACTGCAAAAGCCTGATGCAAGGTTAAATCTTAGATTGCTACTTCTCCAAATACTCAGAACATGACGAACATGATGGTAGATGAACCGTGTGCCATGATACCAGGTGCACCCAAAAGGACTCTCAAAAATGATTTAATAATCTTTCTTGCACAACATGATAGCCCATTTGGGGCCAATCATTAGAATTATATTTTATAATAAACAACAGATTACCAGGAAAAAATACCTTAATTGATAACCTAGTGCTAGATACTTTAACACAGGACTTGGCCCATAAAAAATGCTGATATTGTGTTTCTGTAACCTATCCATGTGCTACTTTTGACTTCTTTAAAAACAAAAAAAAAAAGATCTCTTTAATGAATATTATAGAAGACATTTTGTGAATTTAAATGATACTGGGTATGTTAACACAGATATGTTTTTTGTATCTGAATGGCTTCTCTCCTCATTACAGAAATTGTGTGCAAGAATTCCTGCGAACAATTATTACATGCCCTTGACGCCTGGTACCCTTTTCAGGTGACATATGCAATAATTAAATTTTTATTGCCAGCTTCAAAATAAATAAATAAATATTTTAAAAATCAGTCAAAAATCATACTTCTTTAAAATTCATTTAATATGTTGCTTGTTTATGCTGTCAAATGCATCTTAAGACATTATTATGATAAGGACAAAGATATCATGTGCTCAAATCTAATTTTATGGGACATTTGTCATTTCATACATTGAGAAACTTTTTGTTCCTCATCTCACTGTATACAGCATAAATCAAGGACAACAGAAAAAGTCAAAAACCATTTAAAAAACAGCCATTCTCTATCCCTTAAAATTGACAGACAACCAAAACAGTCTAACAAGTTAGATTCACTCAAAAAAGATAAATAAAGAAGGAAGGAAGGTAATCACAATGTTGTAATCTTATTCCATTTGTCTGACATTCTTCTTAAGGTTACAATGACAGTCAATATGCAATTCTTTTACTACACTTCTTATCACACAGTACAAAAAAAAAAAAAAATAGACGATGATGATGATGATGATGAAATTGGGAATAGGACATAAAAGTTAATCGCTCAATCACCCCCCATCCCAAGTGACCGCCATATGTCCTCTACAGCAATGGGACAGTCATTATTCCACCATTTCTGTTTGTATAAGTACCACGGTGTCCATTTTGTGGCTGTCACATATAAGACTAATGATTCCCCATCAGATATAACTTCTAATAACCCTGCAATTACAGCCACTTGGAGCATAGATTTGTGAGAACCATATGTAATATGTCAATACTGATTGCCTTTAATTTGACACACTAAGGCCTACCAGGTGCCTTCTAATTCTATCATCTCATAGAGTAGAGTGGCCTTCTGATTTCCTTTGGTACCTAGCGGACCTGCCGAAATTGCACCATGTGTTGTGCACCTTCATATCACCATAATTCATGTATCCAAGCCCATATCAAGCCTGTGAAGCCATGATCAAGGATTGCTTTGGCTGCATATTATGCATACACCTCTTTGGCTCCTCACTTAATGTATTGTGGCCCTGATTAAGGATTTTGCCTACTCAAACATCACTGCTGCCATGAATGTGTTATCTATCTATTGTATTACTCAGTCTGTGCAGATTTTCAAAATCAAATTCAACAGTGATGGCTCTGCAATCAGTGAAAGGCCTCTTAATGCTTTTAAAATTGAATTTTCTGTGAAAAACCATCTTAGAATATCAGCTCTGAACTCTGCTGGTGTACCATTCAAGACAGACTCTGACTCAGATTATTGTCATTTTGACATTAAACAAATTTGTACAAGAGTTTTTTTATTCAATAAGAAAGCTGCCCTTTTCATAATCTTTCAAGTTCAAACCTTGAAATTCTTGACATTGTTCCACATATTTGTTTCAAGCATCAGTCTGAATGGTGATGGGAATGAAATAAAAGGGTATATGTTGTTACAGTTCTTCATAATCTCACCCCTTATATGCATCATTTATGTTTCCTATTATCATATTATTTGAAGTGTTTTTTTTACTAAGTAAATATGTATTTCTTTATTCCACATTTTGCAGACTTGAAAAAGGATGAACAGAACATCTCTATACATCCTAATTTAACATACAACTTTTCTTTTCTGGCATTCAAAATTCTTATAGTCTACTTAAGCATTTCATCTTCAGTGATAAAAAATATTGTTATCATGCATTAACTGAAATACGTATGTCCTGCTTTGTATAAAATAAATTCTGAAATGTTCTGACTGCCAGAGACACCATAGCTAAAAATCACCAGTAACATGCAACATCCCCAACACCCCACAGCAGGAAATAGGTCCCGGCAGACTAATCCATATTTTGCCACACCCTAGGGCAAGTCCTGATATACAAAAACAAAAAAATAGTAATACAAGAGCAGGTCCCAGTCAACTCATATTGGATTTAATAATAAAATCCTGATCTTTACCAGCTGAATGTATGAATTAAGTTACAGTGACCAATGACCAAGCTGTATTACTCCTACCATTATCATGCAATTGAAACACTCGACTCAATATTGTTGAATTTCTGTCATAAATCAAAGCCAATAACAGACACAATTTTTCATTAAGATCATGTTGATATTCTGTGTGCCTGTGGAGGCTTTATTATATGAAATCAAGGGCAAAGCAAGTCTGTGATGGCAATTGACCTTGCTGAAAATACAAACAATCCCTTGTAATTCATTCTGAAAAATAAACTCTTCGACTAGAAAAAAACTTAACATTTGAAAAATAACCCTTAATGCAAATTTTTCATTTATTTCAAAGATATATCCTTATATTAGACATCTCATATATCTAAATGCTATTTTGTCACTTTAGCTGGAGCAAATTTGTCTAGGTCGTCCTGGGATTATGGTGAGAACCCCACCCTGTCCAGAACATGTGATAGGGTGATCAAACATCTAAGGTTATGTAACAAGACCGAGAATAGTTCCACTTTTATTCTCAGTAGACCAAATAAGTCTTCAAGACAGAGAGGCAATTTTGCCAATAAGACTTACTGTAAATCTAGTATTAAATTATAAAAACCTTCATATACTTTTAAAGGCATAGAATGCATGTAAGAAGTTTACATAAACAAATATCTTGATATAATTTTTTCTTTTTCACAAAGGTATCCAAAACTGATGTAAAAATTACTCTCTTTAAACCAGTTTTCAAATTCTAAAATTTTCATTTCTACTGTCACAAGTGAAATTTATCAGTCTCTATCTCCATAATGACAGTGGCTAAAAAAATTAGAAACTTAAAACTCAAAAAGAGGTTCAAGGAATGGCTTTAGATATGGCATACCTTGGCGATAAGAGCCAAAATCTCAAAGAAAATTAAATTTTGCTGTGTGTGTGTGTGCATACGTACACGTGTGTGTGTGTGTGTACTGCTTCTGGTGCCTTAAAGCATATGAAGAAAGAACAACTTTATTCTATCAGAAGCAAAGCACAACCGCTCTCCAACTTCCCTTTGTCTACCAGCAAGTTGTCATCTTAATGATGTGCAATAATATGATAAATAATACATAGTTATTATCCTAAACACAGGCATTCTTTTTCCTTCCTGGTGAATTCAAAAAGCAGCAAACAGAAGTTATTTACCCACAAACAAATCAATAAGATGCAATAATAACATAACGCAAAAAGGGTAAACAATTTTGTTTGCCTGACTCCGCCTTTGTTCCTTTTTTCTTTAAAATTCTTCAGCTTATGTTTCATAATCCATTGAATTAACTTACGCCGGCTGTTATATGAGAATGCAGTTATTATCATAATGCAAGCCCACAAAAACAGTAGAAATATTTTGGTGGTCACGCTTAAAGCATGAAAAGATCTTTGCTATAATTATCCCCAATATCGTAGACAACTTTGCAGGTAAATATTGACACAGTGACTAAGATTAGAAAAGTTGATGAAAAGACCTGTGTTTGCCTAACAGACAGGTGGACAAAACTGAGTGAAAGAATGCATAATTTAAGAATGCTACAGTTCATTTACTGCACTCATTCAGAAATTCATCTTCCTCCAGTAGGTGTCACCACCAACAAGTGCAACTATCCTCTGGCAGAAAAAAAACACCACATAGCAAGTCTATTTGACACTTAAATCTTGGCATTCAGATTAATGGTATTTTCCAAATGTATGTTTCATATTTATGAACTAAATAGTGTGTAACATTTCCTGCTATTAATCTTGAAGTGAAAATTGCTCCTTTACACATGCATGACAGACACATTTATTCAGCTGTGATGTGGTTGTTACACTACAGTTCACATACATTGTTCCAGAAGAGGGCAGCACATGCTAGTGATATTTTCTATATACATCATTCTGAATTTGTGTTGACTCCTCCTGATAAATCACAGTATTGTATTTTGTAAGAGATTACAGGGTCTATAAAAATAATGATTTTTCTCATTACTTAACTACTGTGGCAAAGTTAACATACTTTCCAATAACATTTTATGAGATATTAATAAAAAATTTCACTTACATTTTAAGCAGGACTATGGCTACAATATTCCATTCCACACTTCTAAACAGGATATTATGGCTACCCAAGCTAAAAAATGAAATCATTTTACACTATAATGTTATAAATCATAAAAGACACTCCAATATTCACTGCATAGATTGAAATGAAGACATTACACCATAATGAACCACTTTAAGAATCAGCCTATGAAAAATGCTTGCTTGTAATACAAAACTGTTTGGATCGTTACATTTCTACTTTGTTTTGACTGCATTTGTATTACTTTTAACTTGAAATCAATAATTTAGTTAGCAATAAAAAAATCAAACAATATATTTTAAAGCACATTTAAGTTTCTTAGTGAATGTCAATATTGTTGTCTTATGCCAAAATGGATATCATAAACAGAAAAGAATATGAGCTGAATGTCTTTCAAACTAACCTGAAAGTCCCAACCAGTAGTCGTAGTTCTGCTGAAACTTCTTGTAGAGGCAGGTTCAGGGGTACCAAAAGATCTGGGAGACTGAAAATGCCATTACTGTAAGGTTTTCATTGCGCATATTTAAAGTATCTCTAACGGACTACTTTCTCCAGTCAACATTTCATTGTTTATATTTTTGATTTCATCAAATAACATGCATACATTTATCTCAATTTTTTTTTCCAAAAAGAAACATTCATTTAGTCAATCTACTATTACATGAAAATTTCTCAATTAAAAAAACACATTGCAAAATTATACATCTGGGATTCAATTGTATGTGTTGTTTGAGGCAAGCTAGCACATATTTATAAAACCATTTTCAAATATTTGTAATAAACATCAATCCTCACATTTTACTCAACCTTTCCAAAACAATTTTCTTTCTTATCTGTTGCTGTGAGTAATGGTCCACCATGGGAAGAATAGGCTCCTCCTCTGACTAAGAGTTAAAAGACAAGACAAACTACTGTACATTTAACATATGATCTCGAGCAAATGGGAGGATGTGGAGATAGCAGCTTACAAGGCAAATTACTGGTAAATATATCTAAATGTTGTTAGATTAAAAACAAGGAAATCTGCATTTTTTCTCATCAATTTGTAGCAACTTGTCAAAAACAATATCAGTTTATCATCATCCCAACTTGACAAAGTTAAATTAAGTTTCTACCATCAAGAAATTCAGAAATGAAAAAAAAAAAAAGTGCAAGAAACATCTTCAAATACCTTCTCATCTCCACTGCCTTTCTTTTCGACAGCACCACTTTCATCCTGGACTTCCACAGAATAAGCAGTGCTGCCTTTATAGAATTCTGTCACCTTTAGTCCAAACTCCTGCCCATCCTTCTGAAGAGTTTTCATGTCTGGAAGCTTTCCTCCTCCTTGCCTCTCCCCTTCCATGTTACCAGCCTCATAGAGTCCAGCACTATCCAAGTCCAGCTGTTTCAGGTGAACCCTTCGACCCATTTCAGCATATTTTTCATCAAATTCTTGTTTCTTTATTATCTTTTGCTTTGATGCTTTGTCACCTGTAAGGTACTCTATAGTGGATTCAGTAGTCCATTCTAAGATTGCCTTTTCAATCTGACTTAACAAATCTATACAAGACTCTTTTCTAACTGTCTGCAATTCTGACTTTCTGCTGGAAATTTGAGGATGCCCTTTACTTACATGGACTTTGAGATCAGTTTCTTTAGAACAGGCATCAACAGTTTTCAAAGTATCACAATCTTTTTCATTTGTCTTTGGATCTTTGTTAAAAGCACCATTTTCTGGTCCAGAACTTTGTGTAGAGGAAGAATTATCCTGATTTTTTAATGAACTAGACTTTTGCAGCATTTTCTCCCTTTTGGCTAAAAGTTCCATTAAATAAGTTACTTTGTCCTGCTGTGCATCATCATGGTTACCATGGCTACCACTCATTTCAATACCACCATCATCACCATCTTCATCATCATCTGAATCCAAGTCTGTATTTGAATGTTTTGGTGAGGTGTGGATTAGTCCAAATACATTTTTCCTACTCTGGCCACCTGCATTTTGGGCATCATGATGCTCATTTCTTTCTACTCCATACTTTGTGACTTTATCTGTACTTTTGTCCTCATGCCCAACTGATATATTCATTTTTGCTGTGTCTTGCACCAGGAGTTCATCCAGCTTATCTTCTGATGAACCTAATGCCTGTTCTATACCAGAATTTGTATCAGCAATATCAGTACTCCTGGATGATACCATGACTTTTTCTGTGTGCACATGCTTTGGACTTGTCTGTAACAAAACATGTTCCTTTTCTTTAATCTCTCTTGACATGACATGGCTGGAAATCTGCTCTTCTGTTGAGGGCGACATATCTGCAACAGAAGTGAACTGGTTTTGTGTTTCCTCTTTGCCATCCTCTGTGGCTATTTCCACATTTTTTGTCGTCCTCCTGGTTTTAACTGTCATTCCTCTTTTTCGCTGGTCTTCTAACTCAGTATTTCTCAATTCTAACGCTATTTGAGACTGTTCTTTTGTTATAATGGTTTCTGCTGCATTGCCTCTGAAAAAAAATACAAAACTAAGGCTATTAGTTTCAAAATTAACATAATTAACATAATATGAATTACTTGTCTTTAAAATATTCTTACAAAAAAAATTCACTGACAAACATCTTGTTTTCACCATTTAGGGCCCCTTTACACTGGACGGCGTCCTTTCTGCGTCCAGCAGTACGGCGCCATTTGAGAGTTGAAAAATTATAATACTTTACGTGCCGACAACTGGCCGATCATTTAGCATTCATTCTGATACAAAATCAATGCTCGTGCCTCCTTAGTAAGACCATAGCGATGCCAAATTGAATGGTCGCAGAAAGGACGCAGAAAGGACGCCGTCCAGTGTAAAGGGGGTATTAACTAAATTATACTATATGCTTTTGATTATCTATTAAGTTTCACCATTCTTTTTTTCAGCTGTAAGCACTGCTCGCATTAATAACACTATCATCCATAATTACTCTTATTAAATGTTAGTGCTTGGGCCATTTTGTTTCCATTTTTGACCCAAGACAAATCAGAATTAATCCAACTAGCTGAAGACACCGAGTCTGTTTTACAATGAAACAGGCCCAGACGTAACAAACTGAACACAATTTTTTACATCTGATCACATGTATAGCTGGATTTACACTGTCTATCAATAAAAAAATCTTTATGGCTAAGATAATGTGTCCTCCTCAGGAAAATTTTGGCTGGTCACTGATGGTTCACCTGATTGATGACAATGGCTTAACCTGTTAGTGTTCTTGAGGAAGACAAAAAGTCATCATTATGGTAGTCATTGTAACCATACATTAATAGACATAGTATGTCTATGTAAATAAAATTCTGACACAGATGTTAAACCGTGCTAAATATATCATCTAAACTGGATGTGTAATAATGGTAATAAACTTATTACAGTGAATGTTTCACCTACATGTGACAGTTATCAGGCAGTAGCTGAATGGTGACAGGTGTCTCCTGGTCTCTCAGGTACAGTGGGGAGGTGAGAAGCTGCTGCTGGAGATAACTTGAGGCCTTATAACATCGGTTGCTGCAGAATTTCTGTAACATGGATGTTAACATGCCAGGTAATGCCATATTTCATGAAGGCTTGCAGTTTTCAGGGCAATTCTTCAAATTTTTATTCCACTTTTTTCTAGTTATTATCAGATGTAGTAAAGTAAGATTAACTATATTTTAACAAATATTTTAATCTATCCAAAGTATCTACAATTGGAATAATACTTTTCACAACTTTAAAAACTTTTCAATTCCTAAAAATTAGTTAAACTAAATGTATTTATCCTTTGTGGAACTAATTTACTTGAGGTGTGTTCTTGAATACAAGTATTACTGACTCCAAGCACTTTACCTACCTTCCTTTCACTTATGTCATATACCCTGTTATTCTTAGCAGATATGTGGTATTTTTGCTTAGGGATCTGATGAAAAATACAATGTATATTTTACCCAATATATGACAGTCTACCATTACGAAAATGAAAATTTAAAATTATATCAACCACTAACACTTTAATTCAAATAACACAGGTTAATTTATTTATGATAGAGCACCACCACTGAAAAAGGAAAAGTTTCAATACCCTGTATAATTAACTAGTTACTTCACGGTGAAATACCGTACCTGTCCTAGTTCTTGGCCACAGAGTAGATAACCACACAACTTGGCCAAGTGTCTCTCTTCAACAATATCTTGGTAGACAGGTGGGTCTATGTAATGAGCCTAAAAAGAAGAAAGAAGAAAACTTTGAATCTAAAAAGAAATAATAAAAATAGAGAAAAGGCATTCTATTCATTCACAGCTATTAGTGTCACATTTCATTTACCTAAATGACTTGATTAATTTATTATCTTGATAACATAAACCATGAGATAAAAAGTAAGAGGTGATTAAATGCTGTCACTATAGCATAGACGAAACTTCTGTTTATTAAATGTAATCCAAATATATTCTAATATAAAGACAGTAGTAATTTTTCACAATACACACATTTTCAAAGACAAAGTCTTGGGTCACTGCACCATCTAATGTCTGCTGGAGTATGTTCAGAGCCTTCTGCTGGGCCTCTTTCTGCTTCTGCAGTCTTCTCAGAAGCATTTCCCTCCTTCAAGTAAAAAGACAATTACATTCTTGTGAGTTCCGTCAGCTTGATTTTAGAAAAAAAATTCTCCAGTTTTAACATGCATTGACTCATGATCAGTCAGTTGATAAAGTGGTCTTGACAAAATTCATTTACCTCCGGCTTTAAGTCCCTTCAAAACAAATCATTTGTCTACCAATATTTCTTATATTTTCTTTGGGTTCCATTAATTATAATGGCATGATATTTGATGTAAAAATATCGTTGTATTAGTGAAACTGAAAGAATAACCAAACTAACTTATTCGTATAGGGGAGATATAGCTCAAAGTCACCACATATATTAATTAACAAAATATATTGAAAATCAAGAAGTTACACGGTGGGGGAGATAGTACAAAAAGAGTCAGAATAAATAGCTGGATCGCAGTTCAATTTCAAATTAATATAATGGTCTGAATATTGAACTAAAATACCGACTTTATATTCCGGCCTTTATATTCGACTTAAACTACTTCGATTGTATATTAAAACGCTTACAAATACCTTTCATTTGCAGTCCCATCCCTCTTTCCAACGTTCGATGACATGGCTAGCAATTACTCTTTACATCGAACATGCTGCCATGGAATTAAATAGCTTAAAAGTGTCGACGGTGCAAAAATTGTGGTAACTGATGGAGGCTGACATCTTTAAAATACCCTCAATGCTATTATCATATAATGATATAATTTATGAGAATTAAAGACCCTTTAGTAGCAAAAGCAAATATATTCTTTTGTATATCACACATTAAGAGTATTTTGGTTTTGATAATAACTCCTTAGTGAGTATTTTTGTAATTAGTTTTGTAATTAGGTTTTGAGAGTATAAAATGAAAAGCTCGCTCATATAAAGAGGCGTGCCTTGTAAGACCAGTCGTGTCATCTCAGACTGAAAGATTTACTTCCGAGTATTCCACGGGCCTCGCACAATACCGCTTAGAATAGAGCTTTTTTCTTCATTATTATTATTTTCTATTATTTTTCACTTACACTTTCACTGGGAAACAAGTACTGTCGATTTATCTTTACAAGTAATTTTAGATTTATCAATTTATATTTCAAGACAAATATATATTATTAAATTCAAAACATTTCAGATGTTTCCTGAATAATATTCTTTAGAAAGAGCAACACATTTACAATGTTGATAGAATTTTATTGCTTTTAAAGAGAAAAACAATAACAAATTCCAAACAAGTTGGCATATGTTAGAAAATATTGACCCTGTTGCTGATACAATAAAACAGATTTGCATTAAACCAAGGAGTTATAACTCCTTGATAAAACATATATAGAGATACACTTTGTGGTGTACAAGAACTAGTATTTCTCAACAATTTACACAGTTTATTGCTTTATATGTTATCACTTAAGAAATGCCTGTGTTTAAATGGTATACTACACATTCCGTTACCAAACCATACACATGTAGTTTAGTACATTATACAAGTATGTACAAGAATTTATATAATACACAACAGTGCATTAATGACATACCCTGTGATACAATATATATGCACTGTTACTTCTCACCAAACCATCTTATAATTTTTCATTCAACGTCACAAGATGTTTCAAACATACAGCGTACAGTAAATCATGTACCAATACACTGTGCTTTATGGGTCCTTTTTCATCAGTCCACTTAATTTATTCTTTTATATGCACCTTCAAAGTCCCGACATTTACCCTGGTTTTACATCTGGGACTACTTATTAGACAAAACATTCAAATATCAGTTTCTCAATTCTTTATAATGCAGTAGTGGTAATCAATCAGATGATCACACAGATTACTCAGTATAAATGGCATTTTACTGTGATGGGCATTACCACAGCATTTCACAATTCAGATCATAGATAAAATTGAAGAGTGAAAAATATCAAAGGCAAAGCAGACAGTTTGTCATATAAAAAATTGGAGAGTGGCAATATAAGTAATGTTAAATCATAATATCTATTGATCTTAATGTTTCACGAATCACAGTTATGTTGTCAAAATACACGTTAGGAGATTAAAACATACTGAGTATGAAAATGTTCTTGTGTTGACTAATTTATAAGTTTACTTCATTTTTTTTAAAATTCAATTCTTCAAGTACACTAAATGCTTGCTAATAATATTTTTTGGTGAGGCATCAACAGTGCTTTTGTTTAACATCTTGAGAATATCTCTGTATAAAAGCAGAGAACAATTTATAGTACAGCAAAATAGGTGAATACAATAATAAATGACACGAGGGCATTTTATAAAATATACATGTGGATACTGTAACAACTAATTGCTTTATAAAAATGAAAGAAACAATTGACGTCTTTCAACAGTAAAGATAATGACTGAAAACAGCATAAGTATCCATAATACTGACTAGGTTAGATGTATACAAGTTGTTTGATTGCTTTGAAATTCCATATTTTTCTTAGAGACAATAGAAAAATAGGGTGTACATGTAAAGTATATCATGTATTATTTAAATTTATTATTTGTTAAATCAATTATCACATCCTCAGAACTTATCCACATGTATCACAGTAAGCAAAGATGAAAAGCTAAATATAATATAAAACTTCATTCTCTCATATTATATGTATATCTGTACATACAAAAACCTGAGCGATTGAATGCTGAAGTTGCAAAAAAGATATAGGGTAAATCTGTATCTTCCTCATGCTACAAAGACAAGCAGTATTCTTTACTGCACTGGTGACAGAAATGCTGTATGTTTAAGAATGGGTAAAAATTCCAGTAAATCTTTATTCATTTTACTGTTGTGATATCTGTCAGTCCTGGTGGTATGCCTTGCACCTCAGCGCCACCTGGCTTGTGCAACACATTAACCCAGTGAGCCATGATTGCAATGTCATCTTTGGTCTTTTCTCTGCTTATCATGGATGCTGTGAAAAATGGTTGATCTTGATCTTCCATCTTAAAATAAATCAGACATTGGTATGAATTTAAATAAAATTATAAACTGCACATAAGTCACAGCTTAATTTTTAAAAAATACAGGAAGTAAACGAGAACAACACCAAGACTTTAAATAAAACTGACCTGCAGTCATTTCCAGACAAGACTAACTGTGACAGCAGATGTTAACAAAATCCTTTTTTTCAATTCAATAAGGGTATCCAATCTCATTTATAGATTTACAGCCTCCATAATTCTAAAACACCATGCTCTTCCACAGCAATGACCCACATACTAGTATACAGTATGTATCTTCTATTTCATAAACATTATATTTATTGTAATAAATAATTTCTCTTGTCCACCTTCAACCTCTCACCTGTAAAACTTTTATCACACTTATGGTTGCATCAAGCATAAGCAAAGCCTGGTCAGTGTTTAAGTACAACCAGCAGGTGTCAGCATAGCCTATTTCATACCCAATCACCGTCTCCCTTCCATGGACCTTTTTCCAAGACTTTATGCTCTGCCATGGTACCAGGAATGCTGAAGATTTATTGTTTACTGTAAAGAAAAAACCAAGAACTTTATCACAGTATAAATACCACTAGCAAGTGCATAAAAAATCTTAGAAAACTAGAGGATCAGAGAGGCGATNAAACGAGAACAACACCAAGACTTTAAATAAAACTGACCTGCAGTCATTTCCAGACAAGACTAACTGTGACAGCAGATGTTAACAAAATCCTTTTTTTCAATTCAATAAGGGTATCCAATCTCATTTATAGATTTACAGCCTCCATAATTCTAAAACACCATGCTCTTCCACAGCAATGACCCACATACTAGTATACAGTATGTATCTTCTATTTCATAAACATTATATTTATTGTAATAAATAATTTCTCTTGTCCACCTTCAACCTCTCACCTGTAAAACTTTTATCACACTCATGGTTGCATCAAGCATAAGCAAAGCCTGGTCAGTGTTTAAGTACAACCAGCAGGTGTCAGCATAGCCTATTTCATACCCAATCACTGTCTCCCTTCCATGGACCTTTTTCCAAGACTTTATGCTCTGCCATGGTACCAGGAATGCTGAAGATTTATTGTTTACTGTAAAGAAAAAACCAAGAATTTTATCACAGTATAAATACCACTAGCAAGTGCATAAAAAATCTTAGAAAAAAAAGAGATTTTGACAGTTTCAAGTAAATACCATTATGAGACAAAATGTACATACCTGTCGGGTGGAGTTCCAGTCCCAACTTTGTGATCCATACACACACCTGCATGCCATTTTCCATCTGAGGAGAATATTCATTTTATTAAATTAACATGGCACACAGGTGTCCCCCCAATATCAATATTGATGACTAGTTTTAAAATCCAGATTCTTATATTTACGTTTTCTTTATGGAGACAATTCATTTTATACGAAAAGTATCTTTTGTGCAGCATTCCTTTACTTGTCCAAACCATGATTTAAGCTCGGTTAAAAATAGAGTTAAATTGTTACATTAGTCTGCAAGATTTAAACATTTAACCTTTATGAAAAAAAAAAACTCCACAACTTTTTTTCCAAAATATTTTATTAAAAAAAAATTGAAAAAATAAAATAAATGCACAATACATTTAAAGTACTGAAAATATTATAACTAACTACTACTATTAATAAGTCAAAGAAGTAACCTCTTTACATACCACTACACTATTAAAAGTAAACACTTCATCAAGACAACAGCCTCTAAATTGCACAGCATTGTAATGTGGAAGACTTTGGCAAAGGGAAACATACTGGTTTTCTACTGGAAACCCTGGATCCGAATACTCTAAAAACAATTGAATTTTTTAGAATAATCATCTACTAATGAGAGAGAGAGAGAGAGAAACCAATGCAACAGTATGCTACAGTGACTCCAAAAAACTGTGTATACAAAGATATTTAAAAGGAATAATGAGGCAATGAAAATATGGTGGATGTATCCAATGTGGAATCAGTACCACTATTACCAAGTTAACATAAATTTCCAATTCTATCCAACTTTAAATACTGACTTATTTACCTTCTAGTTTTTGAATATCTTCTGCACTTGCTATTAGATTTCCTAAAAAGAAGGCTTATTTTTGTAAACTTCGTTTCTAGTATACAACAAACGTAATTTATAATCAAAATAAAAATTAAAAATTAAGTAATTTGGAATGTCTAGAACACCCCAGTACTTATTGCAGTATTTTTGAGTCCAGCTTTTTGGTGAACATACTATTCTGAGTTGAAACTTATTAGTATGTAAAAATATATTTGGTTTCAATTAAATTCTTTAATCAGGCATTTGGCAAGAGGAGTCACCTGTTTCAATCTCATGCATGGCTTGAACATACAGCAGGTGAAGAGCTGCTGGGTCCTTCATTAATACTGACTGTTCTATTTTCATATCAAAACACCATTTCTGGACCGAGATGGGCTCTAACAAATAGATCAGTATGCTTTCTTAAAATTTACAATTGAAATGTTTAAAACCAGATGTACTATGAACATCTGATTCAGAATCCCCTTTTCATAACGGAAAAATCTAATAAAAAGAAATAAACTGATTGGTTCCAGTGAGAGAATGGTCTAAAGAATTTGTTAATATATTTAAAAAAAAAAAACCTTTACAAAAATTTTGTTTATGATTGTTAAAAATATATGACCAACAGCTAATCAATTTTAGCAAACAATAATTACCTGTTATCTGCCCTTTTATGGATTCTATATTTTTGTACCTTTTCTTTGGTCTAGATTTTCCTTCAAAGATGAAGAAATACTGTTTGCTTTTTTCCTCAAGACCTTAAAAAGGATAAAAAGTTATTTTTGTTACTGTAGTTTTTTTATATAAACATTATTTAAATGTTTAACTTCAAGTAATTTTAAGTGATGTATTTTGAAACATATTTCAAAATCTCATTGTAATTTATCAAAAACTATAATGCATACATTTAAATGGCCAAACATCTATTAAATATTGCATATCTTATCATACTGTGAAAAATTCAAGACAACTGTAGATTCATACCATGAGATAGAAAATGAAAAACAACTTAAAAAAGAAAACATGTTATAAGATCTTTCACATACCTAATTCTTTGCAAACTTTTGTATGAATTTCTTCTACCTGGATTGTTTCAGACTCTGACTTGACTGTGATCTAGGAGAAACCAGACACAGACACATTTCTAAAAACTTATATTGGGTTTCATATTTACAAATAAACAGACAGGCAGACAGATAGACACTATAAAAGTAATAATGAGCATTATAAGGAATACAACTTCTGCTCTCCCTCTTATTACATCTATATACCATAGGGAAGTACGGGAAGTACCTAAACAACAACAACAACAACAATAATAATAATAAATGTAAATATAAATACTGAATGCCAGTAATATACTTGCAGGGATTCTTTGGTTAGATGAATACATGCTTGTAACAATGTTATTGAAAATTGTGCTATATTAAGACTGGCTCAAAGCAATGACATAACATTAGTGCTTGCATCACGTATATGATAAAAATCAATACAAACAGGACCGCTGCTACACAGCTAGTAATAATGATTCTCTTATGGCAGATTACACACATTATAAGTCAACTAAAAATATGACCTACCAAAAGTCTGAGATTCTAGAAAAGCATATACAAAGTTTAACTTCTAATATACTATAGCATATATATATATAAACACAAAAAGGAAACATTATTGGGATGAAATCTTACATGAAGGCAACCTTTTCAGTAAACAAAGAAAGTCAACAACTAGTCATCTAGCTCATCTTTCATTTTAGGCACTACAACTTAAATCAAACCTGAATAAAAAAAATTGCCATTTATATCTTATTTATAAGATGAGGTCAGCACTAAAGAAGAAGTTAAAAAAGACATACATGGAATTTTATCATGCTTCATTTTAAGATTCAGATAAAAAAAAAACCTATATTATATATTTCAAATGCAAGTAAGTAAAAAAATAAATTATCCCATTGATTATACAAACCTTACAAAAAGATATCAATTTTAGTTCATTTATCTTAATCATTTGAGATTTAATTTTAATCTATAACATTTCCCACGGGAATATAAATTTCAGACATCTGCTGGAAGTAAAGAATCTTATCTAATAAAATACTGATAATTTAGGTCTCTGTAATAAAAAAATGGTTTAAACCTCTTTTTTGTTAACTTGAAAATTGTTCATATATCTACCAATATTCATGCATTTACCTAGATTCATGATATACCTTAGGTTAATTTTCCACATTCTGTAGATCTAACTCAATATTTGTTAGCAGTAATAAATATTTTTTAATCATATAAAATATATAACTACATGCATTATATTAATTTGGAAGTACGTAGTAAAGTTTAATTTCATATTGCCAGTTTGTTAAATCAATTACAGTCATGCATACCACAGGCAGATTAGAAGTATTATCTACTGTATGTTTCTCTCTTATCAAACTGTTGTCATTACTGGTAAAACATTATACCACTGATCAATTCACTAATGATACAGACACTGACTGACATATACAGTACCTGTGCTTGGTAATGTTTTTATTTTCACTAAAATATCCTGGTATACTGTATATCCCTTAAACATTCACTCAGATGCTTGGCAACTGAGTACCAGTATATGCCAAGAATAAATTTACCAGTATTCACAGTACTCATACTGATGTATCCTGAATTAGGAAGTACCCGTCTAAATGAAATAATGAGTATATACATGTACTATTAGAGTGAAGTCTATTCCCTCAACAATAAAAGTAATAAACGGCATTCACACCATCCGGATAATAAATAAGAGATACAGGAAATAATAAAAATTCGATACAATATCTTTGTCGAAACTTAACAAAATCATCCTTGGGAGTATTTTAGTTAAAAAAAGTAAGCTCTTGGAAGTCTTGCACTTGCAAGCAACACTGCCAACAGGTGTCAAAATATTTCAATCACTCTATCTCAGTTTATCAGTCTATCTCTAACTTAGTGTAAGTAAAGCATTAAGATAAAATATTGCATATTCATTGACTTCCATTCATGAACTCATAAAAATAATAATTTGACCAAAATAGGTACATGTTTACCTGAACTGGAGAAGCATTTTTGTCGAGAGTTGCTACCTCTACTTTCGTTAGTCTGCTAAGCTCCATTTGTGATTGATGTATGCAGTAACATGTGTGTTGAGACGTGATTGGTTAAATGTTTACCGGAAACACTGCATTATCCCGTTCCATCGTTTCCATTGCTCGTTCCATTTAACAACTTTCAGAATAAATGAATTATGTTGTTATTTATAATGAAAAGTTCTGAACTGACTAATGCCATCATTGATGAAATTATAAATCATTTGCTTTTCTTTATCATTTACTGCCGATTACGGCTGGCGATTTTACTTCCGGTCAGGATGTTGGCAGACACGATTTTGATAGTGATAATTTCCATTTGCACAGCTCTTATGGGCGAAGGTATGTTTTGTTTGTTTATCGATACCGAATGCACCTATATACACTACATGTGATTGATGGTATGTGTTAATAAGGTATACTTTTTCTCAACTTTTATCGAGTAACCGTGTGCCTTCGCCTTTTTATACCGTCTAGGCTGTGATTGAACGCAGTGGCATAGGGGTGTGCCTAATTACCGTCGACAACCGAGCACAACCGAGCACAACCGAACACTACCGTCCACAAGCACTAATTACCGTCCACAAGCAATAAATACCGCACACAAGCGTCCTCCCATATGAAATAGTTGTAAAATTAACTAATAGTTAGACATTTAACATAAGATGGTGCTTTATTGGAAAAAAAACGTCATGGACGCAGGTCTGCAGACGTTTTCAAAACGGAGGACCTCACTTAATTGTCACATTTGTTGCATTGAAAACTACGTTAATAGCATTAGTCGGTGTTACTTTTCTGTCAAACCTCGATCATTTTCTAACATGTGAAAACTTTGGGACGGGAGTAAAGATCTTGTTGAAATGTTGTTTATTAGCCAAAATATAATCTGAAATTTTGTAAAATGTTCATAAAAGTAAGTGTCTTGTCCTGACGAAAGATTTAAAGTCTTATTACTTTTGATCATCCCAGGTCCGGTAAGTTGTTGGCAATCAGGGCCGTCCAGTTGCATTCCTCCGATAAACTTTTTATAAGTGCAATTAGAATTATGATTACCTTCGAGGCAGGCCCGTCGCATGCCTCCCCTAAACTTATTTCTAGTCGTCTTTGATCATCTACGGACAGTTTAAGTCAATCAGGGATACGCCGGTCGCGCGACAATTATAATAATTGCAACCTAAGTGTGCAGAATATTAAAAGCAACTGCAAGTGTATCCATCACCCTAACCGTGAGTCGAAAGCAAGGCGGACCGAGTATTCTCCTCTTGGAGACTCTCACATCAAGCGGTTGTGGGACGATCATTTGCGAGCCCCAAGTGAATTTAGACGACATATGCATCCACGCCAACCACCACTAAATTTTATGTTTAATAAAACGTCTTTGCTTTTTATATATTTTTAAAATATTTTTATATATTGATCATGTTGGTTTCTATACAGGAGAAGATAAGATAAACAGCTTATATTTTTTTTCATTGATTTTATTGTAATTTCCTTAAAACTGCAGGTTATTGTTTTAACAAAATGAAAATATTTCACCTGATGTTTTACGAAATTAAAAGTTTTCACCCGAAGCTTTCTGACGTTAAACAGATCCATTTACTGATGTTGGTTCGTGCATTTGACAGCTTTGTTTCAATTTATCTTTTATTTCATTCTATACTTTTTTTTCATTATGAATACGTCACGACCTTCTTTTTATGTTTTTACGTTTAAGGCTTGATTTCTATGCCTTATTTATTCACGTAAATACTTTTATTCTTTATTTTCATAAAGGATCAATTTATTTATTATTACAATTTTTTTTGGCTTTATTTTTTCTCTAACCCGTGTCAGATCGAGCTAAACAGACGATGCCGACAATTGACGTTGCTAATAGTATCAGTTACCTTGCAAACAGCGTGTGCCACCTGTAAAAGGTGCTGATAATATCAGTTACCATGTAAACAGAGCGTGTGCCACCTGTAAAAGGTGCTGATATTATCAGTTACCATGTAAAGAGAGCGTGTGCCACCTGTTAAGGAGTGTCACGAAAGGCAATAGGAGATGAGTATTATTATTTATTCGATTGTGACCTATCTAAAAAAATTCAGAATAAGTATTTTACACATTGTGTACATTAATACATGTAATATTCATAAATACAAAGAATTATATGATAGAAATTATATAAAACTGCTTAATAAAGCTATGCAAACTAACCGATATAATAAAAGAAAGAATAAAAGATTTATGCTTGATAAATTAATGTGTACTTAATTCATGTAGGTGCAGGTATATATATACATAATCGTGAAACATTATATACACTGTAACACATTGTATGACAAAAACTTTTGTAACGTATACACATCGTTTGCTTTTTGAGTTTATTAAAAATGGAACTGTTGTCCCGTGGCATGTCTTGTTTATCCCACGTGTCAAAACGATCTAGCCTGTGCTGACGTGCCATAATACTGATAAGATCAGTTGCCATGGGTATAGAGTAGGTGTCCCCTGTCAATTTCTTTTGAAATGTCTTTGATTATGCATGGACAGGTAAGTTGATTGCCCCTGTGCTGACGCGTGGCACTACTGATGAGATCAGTTGCCATGGGTATAGAGTAGGTGTCCCCTGTCAATTTCTTTTTTAATACCTTTGATAATGCATGGACAGGTATGTTGACTGCCCACGCTTAACCTAATCTTACTTCATTACGTATGTTTTTGTCTGAAAACCCTATAAAAGCCACGCTCAATCCAGTACCTGCCTTCATTCATAGCTTTGGCTCTCTATAAAAACCCCAGCGATCCCACGAACCCGTGATTCGAAATCTTTACCGCAAAGATGCCTAAGAGATATCCATGTGGCGATTGCAGGAAGAACACTGCCTACACGGTGTCCATATTATGCGAGTCCTGTAATTCCTGGTTTCATAAAGAATGCCAGGGGTTAACAGAGGCAGATTTCAAGGCTTTGGGGCAAAGTAGGCTAGGGTATTGGTGCAAAAGTTGTAATTCAGCCCCAGGTGGAGATTATGACTTTCACCAAGCCCTGCTACGCCTTAAAGGTTTTGCCCCAAATAAACTTGAAGAAGCAGTACGACAAGAAGGCATGTTCATGAAGATTTTTGGGGTAAGAGTTTTCTTCTTGGAGCTCTTACGCCGTGGTGGCAGGAGATCATTCACCCCCCAAGTGAATATAGACAATATCAGCTTTGGTTCTTCGTATGATGTCGAAGTGTCGACGGCTACGGTCAAAGTGCACGGCCGTCAACCCTCCGACACCATACAAGGTAACTTTCGCTGAGCAGAGACAGAATTGAGGATCCATATGTCGTCTACATTCACCTGGGGCTCGCAAATGGTCGTCCCGCAACCGCCTGATGTGAGAGACTCCTAAGATAAGAATACTCGGCCCGTCTTGCTTTCCAGACATGGTTGGAATGATGGATAACCAACGGAGGACACTTGTTTTTTATATATTCAGCACTCTTGGCTCCAAACATCATTGGCTCGCGACCGGGGTACCCCTGATTGAAATCATCTTACCAGTCCGTAGATGATCAAAGGTAAGTATGATCTGTTTGCCGGGGGCACGCGACGGGCGAACCCCTGATTGTTATCACTTTAACTGTCCTCGAAGCTGGTCCTCGGCTGATCAAAGGTAATTAGCATAAAGTTACCGAAGGCACGCACCCGGCTTATCCCTGATTGTAATCACCTCACCTGTACCTAGATGATCAAAGGCAAGTAAAAATATATATACCAGAGGCACACGGTCGACCAACGCCAATCAACTTATCTGTCTCCAGATGATAAAAGGTAATTAGAATTTCAGTTCTGCTTCAACGTTTACCGGAGGCACGCGACCGACCTACGTCAATCAACTTATCTGTCTTTGAATGATCAAAGGTAATTAGAATTTCAATTTTACTTTAAAGTCTACCGGAGGCGCGCCTAGTCGACGAATGTTTAAAAGGTCCACTAAAGTGGAATATTAAATTACCGGAAAAGGTATATTCTATCCATAGTAGATATAAATAAATTTATGTACGCTTATAACCGTCCTTCAATCATTCTAAAAACGAAGTAGGGTGAAACTATGGATTCGTAATAGTTTTTTTTTTTATCTATTGAAATAACCACATTTAGATATAGATATAAGATAAGAGTTAATTTAGCCAATTATAAAAATCGGAAATCATTTTCCTTTCGGAGCAATATACAGAGTAAAATAATAGATTAATACAATAAATAAATAAACTTAGAATATGCACAAATGTGGCTTATATTTATACACGTACAGAGACCGTTTTTTTCCAATAAAGCACCATCTTATGCTAAATTTCAATCTATTAGTTAATTTTACAACTATTTTATATGGGAGGACGCTTGTGGGCGGTATTTATTGCTTGTGGACGGTAATTAGTGCTTGTGGACGGTAGTGTTCGGTTGTGCTCGGTTGTCGACGGTAATTAGGTACACCGGTGGCATATACTATGATTTAGCATTGAATAGTTATCAGCTTGAAAGTTCTTGGTTTGTACTTGTCGAGGAAAAAAAATTGTGTTTGTTATTGATCTGCACATTTCAAAGATTTTCAAGCGTCACCTTATGTAAAATCAACCGAAATTCAAAGTGGCTTTGCCGTTCAGTTAAAATTACCGGTAATTTTTTCACTGGACGCAATGAAAATTAATAATAATAATTATTATAAAATATGTCGATACTATTGATATTGATTACCCATACTTTCTAAAGTTAGTTCACTGTGTTGGTTAGAGACTTTTAAACTACACATTTGATACCCTTTCCATTGTGCTTTGTAGTGGAATAAAATTGCACTGTTTTAGTGTTTACAGCCTACAGGTACCTCTTTTTTACAGGGCTAACATGGTTATTAGTGTACCGTACAGAATATTACCAAAGATTAAAAGTAGAGGTGGAAAAAGCAAGTAAGAAATGTAAGTAAAAGAAAAACTCAAGATAATTTGACAACATTGAATTTTATTTTAATGAAAATTCCCAGCAAGTATCTTTTTGTATTTTTCACAGCATTTCGTTCTTATTTCTCATTTCAGTAAGTATAAAGAAAACATAATTATGAACAGTTTTTGTTCTTATTTTTAATTGCATATGTCTCAGTCAGGATAAAGAAACACATAAGATAAGTTGCTGTACATACATAGGCTTTTAAATGTGCTTATGTATTATTTACATACCCCTGTTTCATTTTCATTCCAGTGGAAAAGACAAAAGAATATAGCAATGAAGCAGACAGAAGCCAAAAGAAAAAAATAGGTAAGTTATTAGTTTACTAGTAAACAGATTTTTTTTAATCACTATTCCAAGATATAAGAACATATTTTAATATCAATAATGCAGAAAACAAAGAAAATCTCTTCATTTATTATTTTAGTATGAATGTTGTCTATAAAACATTTTATTATCTGTTTGTAGCAAAATCAACCTCTATAGTCAATAAAATATGCTTCTGTTATTCACCTTATGAATGATTATGGATACTTGTGAATGATTGATTCTTTCTTTACAGAAAGACAAGAAGAAAAATTAAAGAACAACAACAGAGATTTATCCATGGTAATGCTCTTTATGTTTAGATCATATCTGATTGTAGAAATTGTTATGAGTAATTAATTGTATTTAACTTGCAGACTGAAATTTTAAAGCACTTTTAATGAACAACATGATAGTTGAAAATTAAAAATTCTGAATGATAAGCAAAATGTTTAAAAATGGTTTGCATGAAAAATTACAGAAAGAACAGAACCATTGATTTAGTTTTAGTGCATCGAATATCTTTTGTTGCAATCTTTTAGGTGAAGATGAAATCTATGTTTGCCATTGGTTTTGCTTTCACAGCCTTGCTCAGCATGTTCAATTCAATGTAAGTCCTAGTTTTGTGGAGCAAAGAAATTGCTTCTAATTTGCTAACTTGTAAAAATGATGTTAAAAGGATGGCTCCTTACTGTATGACTTACATGTAAGTTTAGAAGTTATCAAGCTATTTGGCTAGATACAGTGAATAGTGATGGAGATGATAATTTTGTTGTTCACTTCTGTATTCAATAATGATCATGTATAGATCTCTATCTAAGATTAAGCAGAAAATGCAATAATTATTATAAGGTTGCTGTCCTGTATTTCATTGTAATCCCATTCAAGTATTGTTTATAGGTATGATAATAACTTGATGCAAAGTGATTTTTTTTTTCATTCAGATTTGATGGGCGAGTGGTGGCCAAGCTTCCATTTATACCTATAACCTGGCTTCAGGGAATTTCCCACAGGAACTTAGCTGGAGATGACTACTCTGACTGCTCTTTCATCTTCCTGTACATTGTGTCAACTATGTCCATTAGACAGGTACAGATGATGTTTTGATAATAATAACCCCATGAACATAGCAAAAACAAAGTGTGATGGGTTATAATGGCTTTTACTGATTCCATCTTTATTTTAACAGCCTTTAAGTAAGACAGATTATTTGAAACATATCAGATTTTCTGTAAATTAAAACAAGTCTGAGGGGTTCAATTATTTTAGTAATAGAAAGGTTGGAATACCGTATGACAGTATTTTTAACTGTTATAAGAACCTTTTTTCTCCAAACAGTGCATAATATTAGTAATAACATTATAGTAAGACCTTTGTTAAACATACATACATTTTTGTAATAAATTTTGATATTTATACATACATTACCTGCATTTATGCACATTTTCTTTTACTTACACAATAAGTATACAAAACAAGACTTGGGGCTTATTATGGTCATGGAATATTGATAAAGATACCTTTAAAACATTCTTTCACTGTACCAATGCATTCGTAAAATATTCCTCTTCAAATGTGTGATACTTCATTATTTATTTAAGCAGATGCATTTGGTACATTAAGACATATTTTGTTATTTCAGAATATTCAGAAACTGCTGGGATTTGCACCCTCTAGAGCAGCCAACAAGCAGGGAGGTGGAATATTTGGCACTGCCCCACAGTATGGAAAATAGACCATGTGTTCAGTCTTGGAATGAATTTTTTTGCAGGACTATAAGACTTAAAAACTGCTGCAGAACATGATTTAGATAAGTTATGGCATCTGGAAATAATTTCATTTGGTTGAGGTCATTGTAGTATTATTGGCCAGTGAAAGAAGAATGAGCAATCTTTTTGCAGTATGAATTTGTAGTTTTCAATAGGGCAAATATGTAATTTGGAGATTTATTTCTACAGTAAAGAAAACTTTTTTGTAAATGTTTCACAACAGTGTCAAGTATTTTTTGCTGGTGTTTTTACTACTGAGGAAGCTGTGAATTTTTGGTGTGGACAAAAAACGACCCCTTGTAGACATAGTTTGATATCATAAAATACTAAGCTTATAATCTTGTTAGTTTCCCCTTTAATTATTTTCTTACTCATAATTTGATTATTGATGCAATACCAGGCCTTTGAGAGATCAGAGAAAAAAAAAATTAAACAAATTGACAAGTGCTCGTCATAGTTGTAATACAACATGGCATTTCTATGGAGAGAGGTTATGGTTATTACATACTGCCAAAATAATATGAGATTCAGAAAAATTAATAAAAGTTTAAAGGACTGTTGGGTATGGATAATGATTGCATAAACAGAGCTTTTATTTATTGTTTGATTCAGTAACCAAAATGCAAACATTGAATATTTGAAAAATAAATTCATATGCTTTATTCTACATATAATGATGTTGATGAGCACAAACAACAGCTACCATACATTCAACTCTTGCCAGCAGTGCAGTTTTTTTTCTTTTTGTATCTTTAACACTTCATCAAAAGACTGCCATCATCCATCACCTATGTTGTCTTGGGTCCCATGTTCTAATAAATCCATTAATTCAGTTTCACTAATATCTCTATCCATATCCTCTTCTTCATATTCCTCCTCCATTCCCTGAATGTCTTGACTTTCATTCGCAAAGTCTTCGTCTTCTAACTGGCTTGAATTGAAATCTGTGGTGTCATCTGAATTTGAATAAAAAACACCATTACTTCTACATATATTAATTCATTATTCAATGATGGTCATTGAGAAAATTCTTAGCAAGCAGCACCCTTTGTATTTGTTCTCATTGAACTGAAGCAAACTGTAAACAAAACACAACTGGGATCATTGAAGATATGTTTAAAGGGATAACATCTGTTCGTAAGATATCCATATTTCACAATATATACATTGTAAACAACTCATAGAAACATAATAAATTCTATTTTACCACCAAAACAGCAGTTAATGCAATTATTCAAGAATTTGTGCTTGCCATCACATCATGTGACCTCCATACATGGCTACACTCTGTAATAATCTCTTAAGTGAATACAACAAAAAATCAAACTTTTTAGAAAAAAAACAGGGACTAACTTTGAATGTGGGAATGGATTCATTAACCATTTGTAAGTATGGGAAAATTGCGCTTTACCCCAGGAAAATTCATTTTTTGGCCAAAATGAACAGCTGTTATCTCTTTAAATACTTTTCCTAAAAAAAAAAAAAAATGCTTGTGAACATGACACAAGATGAAGCCAGTTAAAAGAAATTTACCATTTCCAGCAGCTGTGGGATTCTTTTTCTGCCATTCTTGGAATGATTGCTTGACACAATCATTAAGCAGGTCACGCACTTCATCTATCGTTCCCTCTGTAAACCAACCATCACGTTCTGTGCAAACCTACAAGATATTGATTTAATATTCATTTATTTACTTCTTACTTATATTTTTGGGTTTTTTATGATTATCAATTTCTAGTTAAAAAGTATTTTGATTCTTTCAAAACAATACAAAATGTTTGGCAATAAGTGAGATGTTGGAAATGCTTCAAAAATTAATCTGCTTTAATACTGTCTAATACTTACTTCAGAGATGTTGACTTTCAACAGATCCTGCACTGCTTTCACCTCGATATCACACACCTGATAGAACATCTGATGATAGGGAGGTATAATCCCTGGACGGATCTTGCACACATTCTCATTCTGAAACAAGAGGATAAGCTTCATATTCTAAGCGAGGATAAGCTTCACACACAAACATAACAACTGGGGACACAATTCATCAAATAGTTCATCCATTCAGAATAAAGAAATTAATTGACAATTTTGGTTCCATACTAGCCTCTTGCACCTTTTGACGTGTAACAATTCCATGACAGGGATGTGCAGTGCTATTTTGCATACAACATGATTTGTTTCACTTTTAACGACTGACTTTCCCCTTGGACAGTATTTGTAGGGTCTAATAGAGAGACACTGCATCACATTACGTACTTAATGCCAAGCCATCATTTTCCTACAGGCTATGCAGAATGGAATTAATCTCTACACATTTTTCTTACATTTAACTTGGTCTTGGACACAATCACAACATCAAGTTACCAGTCCATACGTTGTCAGTCAAAGTGTGCTAATAATCAGCTGTGTACATCTTTTCATCCAATTATACCCACCCTGTAAGCTTCTTGCATATCCTCCCCTGCAGTATCAGAGACCTGTATTGTAGAGGCCTGGGGTTTTGTTTTAGATACACTGGTCAGCAGCTTATAGTTCATTGAACTTCTCTTATACACGAGTGATGGATTCTTCACATCTGAAAGTATTGTCAGCTAACCAATCACAAAAGAGATGATGTAAGAATATGAGTTTTGCTGGAGAGAAAAGTGACTTCTCAACAGATAATCTCTGAAAAGTTACACTTTACATTTTCTATGAAAAGTCCATAATGAATGTGTGTCAAAAGATGAGATTCAATATTTCTCTTAGTTGAGAAAAACAGCATCTTCAAGCAGATGTATAGTGTCAAATACCAAGAGAATCAGGAAAGAGTAAGAACTATTTAAATAAAAGAAAATTGTTCAATTAAATGAATCACAGGATTAACAGCAACGCTTCTGAAGTGGGGTCAGCCATATTTAGTCGGCAGATCAGTTAGTACTCAGATCATCTATTCTGAATGGCCCATACTTACATATTCCCTGGCGCACCCTGAAATCCACCATCTGAAAATGACGAGCATTGGGGTCCTTCCTGGGATCGAACCCCAATTTGACCCACAAGCTGCGCCAGGGTCCTGTCGTGATGTAGTATGCCACACGCGGCAGCACATGCTTGAGACGGCGATGTGCATGTGGAACCCCATACAAGTGATGTGAAATGGCACTTTTCGACCAAATTACACGCTCTGTGGTAAACATCTGAATATGTAAATGTCAAATAGTAAAGTCTCTCTTAAAATATCACAAGTCATAATATATTTCTATGGCCTCTCACATTTTTCAATTCCACTTTTATATCTGCCCACTGCATGCTGAATGTCCAAAATTTAACAATCTTAAATCTATGCTCTTATTCTTTAGTTTTAAGATATCTTGATAAAAACTTTTGCTATAAAAATATAAGGCATCTTGCTGAAAAGTAATAAATGAATAAAAAGCATCTTTTACTTTTAAGTAGTTTTTATTGATATTACCTCTTTTACTTTCTCCAGCAGGTCAGTTAGACCCAGCTTGATAATGGGTTCAGTTTTCTCTATCCCTGCCATCGGCTCTGTGGGTATTGGATCATGATAGCTCTTAAAGATGGTGTAGGCTATCCTTCTTTTCCTTGCTACATGTAGAAGTTAAATGGGTAAAGCTAAGCCTTAATTGATAATAAATCTGTGCTGCCTGACTGATGGAAATATATTCAAAGCATGATTAATTCAACCAGTATGTCAAAATATTTTATTAAAATACAATCTATCATGAACTGGTGGATGAAAAAAAGAAAAAAAAAAACATTCATTTATTTCTTTTAATCAAACTCCATAAATATTTAGAACTTAAGTTTTTGCCAGACTGATCATTATTTAAAACATGTCTACAAACTAACATATTATTTAAATACAACATCAGCATCACTTAGTGTATTTTCATCTCTCCTAATATTAACAATCTAGACAAGCAAAGACAACTAACGGTACGGTGCTTCCAAAACCTGCTTTTAGGTGCTTTTAGGTTATGAGAAAACTGACAGTAGGATGTCAATTTTAAAATCAAAAGAAGCACTTACCAACACCAATAATATCTTTCTTTTCTATTGCATCATGAAACTCTAAATCAGTCTTCTTCTGTTTCTGTCTGTAATAGTAATCTGTAGGCTGATCTAGGCGACTGAAGACTTGCGGTGGTAAAAACATTGGAATGCCTTCTTTTTGTAGCAATTCAGAGGAAGGCACAGGTTTGGTGATCATGATATCAGGAATGAGAGACTTGTAGCTTCCATCATCAGTTTTCTGCATTGGTAGAAACTGGATGTCTGCTTGACCTACAGAAAGCATAGACTGTTTTAAGCCAGAATTTATGATATTGTAGTAGCTGGCCAGGATTGTCCCGGGCTCGGTAGCTCAGTAGGTGAGAGCGGTCGCACGGTTTGGGAGAGTCCCGGGTTCGAGTCCCGGTCAAGCCTTGGTGTTTTCTCTCCCCATATCGCTACAATGGTGGCAGCGGTGACAGAGTTGGACTCGCGTCTTTCGGCATTTAGGGGGGAAGAGTGTAGTGGCTGGCCAAGATTGTCCTGGGCTCGGTAGCTCAGTAGGTAAGAGTGGTCGCAAGGTTTGCACGAGTCCCGGGTTCGAGTCCCGGTCGAGCCTTGGTGTTTTCTCCCCCCATATCACTATAATATTTTTACAGTATTTTTCACTTGATGCACTGGACCTTTTATGAAAATTTTACATAATGAGGACAGCAATTTAATTACATGACTAACTTTTTAACTTAAATTTAAGTTCACAAAACACCCAAATAAAATGTTAATGTTAAACACTGAAGCATTATATATTTGCATAATTATTTTGCACACATGTACACCTAATTTTCTATAGTTAAATTGATTTCTGGTCAATGGTATACTCATTTTTCATGATCTGTACTTACTCTGAAATTTGTATGTGGTACTAACACGCCCCAGTACTTCTGAGTGGTACTTGACATCTCTGTCACCTGTCAGTTTGTCACCCTGCATTCCTTTACCAGTTCTTCCATTTTTCTTCTTCCTTCTCCATTTCTGGACTTTGAGAAGCAGGTTTGTTGTATCACATCTGAGGGCAGAAGACAGATGTCAGTTTATTTTCATAATTGTTTAATGACAGAATTATGATCGGAGGATTCTCATTTTCTTGAATTTTTAGTAGTTGACATTAGTTTGTGGGAAAAATTTGGTCACTGGCAAAACACATTTCATGGCCATTACCTGTAGCTAGTTAAGACGAGTCTAATTATTAAGTTACCTGTCAGCATAAGCAGGTTTACAGTAGAATTCATCTGGTCGCCAACGTAGGGGTAGTCTTTTGCCAGGATCTTCAAATGTCTGTAACAAAATAGAAGTCTAACTTACCCAATTTCCACACGCAATTTGCTCCAGACTGTTGTCTGTTTCAAGTTATGCCAGATTGTGAGATCCATCAATAACAATTCGACATTAAAATGTCAACTAAGTAATATTTGTGCGTGTGTCTTTCAAAGAGCGGCACCTTGTAAATCAGTATGTCTGAAGTTTGTGAATAGTGTGTGAGTGAGTGTGTGTGTTAGAGAGAGCAAGGAGTTTCAACTGTTGAAACTCCTTGGAGAGAGAGAACGAGAGAGAGAGAGAGAGAGACCTTAGAAATGTTCTCCTCTCCTCCAAGAGTCTTCAAAGCTTTATCAATATTCTCAATCACTGCAGGATATTCGATGCAGACAAAATCATTATCTCTCACGCTTTCCATTTGCTCCCGCTGTAGCTTTGTCGACCTTGACCTAGTTCTATCCTTCCAGTTCAGGTTCCTGTATATCCCGCTAGAGGGCATCTGGGTCAACATTTGTTAGCCGGTGTAACGAAACTGTGGGTCCGTGTTTATTTTTACAAATGCAAAACGTCCAGCTGTGAAACGTATTACTCACTTTGAAAATTCAGCCATCACTGGTTTTGTTCTTTGATTTACCTCCTACAAGTATAACGTTGTAAACAATTATGATAATCTGTTTTTGAGCAACTTTAGTTTGCTTCTCACTGATGAATTCTTTATTAAAAAACGGGGAAAACACATATCCTACCGATAGTAAAATAAACATCAAATAAACTATTTGCCAGTTGTGGTCCAAATATTGTATCAGAAATATCAAACTATCATGGAATCACAATATAAATATTTTCAGTCACCAACAGAAAGCCCTGTTTCCTAGCTATTGCACCAAACACTTGCAATGGGTAAGATGAAACTTGCTAAAAATTTTTCTGGAGAACAAACGTTCGGACCATTTCGGGTTGCCGTTTAACGCACACATTGTCCCATCTATAATATACTGAGCACTAAAGTAGTTTTAATTTCAGGGCAATTTAACTAAGGTCTAAGTGCAAAATGTAACTGGTAAAAAGAAGAAAAATCTTCTCATAAATGTATCTGTTGTAAAAACTGTAAGCGTTATAGAAAGGTCATATTTTCTACGTCTATATGTATTCTGAAAATTAAGCTTATGATATTTTCTAATTCAGAACTTAAAAACGATCAAACTTCTAAAATATATTGATATCAACAGTTCTTTCTGAAATGTGCAGGAAAACAGGGACTTTTAAATGACTGAACTCTCTCTTAATCACCTCAGGGAAGAATACCCTCATTATCGATTATCTATTAATATATAATTATTAAGATAAAGAGGATTCCTTTGGGCTTTTCGTCCGCTGGAAAGTCCCCCTGTCAGATCGCATTATACAGTATCAGACGCGACACCGCTCTTGCCTCGTACGCGATGTGATAGTGACGATTCTCAGCGGGGTTGAAAAGCATTGCATCACCACTCAAAATTTGTTCAGGGTATGATACTGTGTAATGCGATTTGACACACACCTTGAAAACGGGTAGTGTGGTCTGATCTACCGGTGAATTCACGATCATTCGGTGCCGAGTCTGGTAGTTGGGTAGGCCTGAATAAGGTGGGATCTATAAATTTGTGTAATTATTTCACCCGAAATAGAGCCTATGCAACCTTCTCCCTCATTCTCGTATTTCAAGGGTGACCAGGATCGGGGCACTACATACAGTAACTTAATTCCTTATGTATATTTCAACTTCTGAATTTTGGTGTCGACCGTATTCAGAATCGTGGGGGTAAGTCTGTAAAGTATATAGGTTAGGGGAGAGTAAGTAAATTATGAATTTAGAAATGCCATCTACTCAAAACCGGGAAGATTTTTAACCTTGGTTTTTACTTAGTTTCTAAAAGAGATAATTTAATGTGTCGTTAGACATGAAACACTGTCTATTGTAGATCGTGTTAATTTTCATGAAGAACAAAGGAATTCCACATAGAAAATTAACAGGAATTATTGTATTACTGAGTAATGATCGATTTTATTTCATTATTAGGTCTACTTTATGAAGATGACCATCTTGAATAAGATCTCAGTGTATTCATATGCATAATTATAATAACAGATGCTTTGAATATCATCAGGGGCAGTGGGGTGCAGCTGAACACCCCAACTAGAGCTCCTATGGATTTTTGATTTTTGATTTTTTGATTTTTTTTTACCTTTAAGAATTGTAAGATTTTTCCTTTCTTCCCGTCCATCAGATTTTTTTTTACTTTTCCTTCAGTCATCGTAACCAGCCGCATAAGGGAAGATATTCAGGACGAATCGCGTGCACTAAGATGATAATTGCGTTTGTAAATTTATAAGTTTCGCAACCTTCTCACAAATTTCAAGTATTGCGCCCTATTGTGCCTAGTAAGATTTTAGAGTGATACATGTAGCATAGTTCATATATATCGACCTCTCTTTATGTTTCTGTGCACAGAAAATTATCAGTGAATATCTAGTAGGCCTAAACTAGAAAAGCACTCCGAGAGCGCAGACCTCCGCCAAGGCAGCAATTTTTGATTATTATTGATTATTGATTGATTATTGATCCAGATCACCACCAAAAACTAATCATCTGTTCCTTGGCCCACTTCTGACAGTTTCTGAAAATTTCATCAAAAGCGGTCCATAACTTTTTGAGTTATGTTGATGACAGACAGACAAACAAACAAACACAGGGGTGAAAACATAACCTCCTTGGCGGAGGACCTTACGGCAGTCACCGGGTAATGCTACTCTGATAATGTTCATATGCAGCATCCCATTTCTGATTTCTAAGCCTTTGCATAAATTGTTACATCAAATACTTTTAAGAAAGCACCGACATTCTCCCCCCCCCCCCCCCCTCCACCCACACACCTCTTTCCTTCGTTTTGCCAGGGAATTGTATCGACTACGATACAATTTTCCTGGTTTTGCTGAAGGACGAAATGCAAATCCTACATTGCACCAGGTGCGCTTGAGGGATTCCCCCTCCAGGTGGTGCTGCTGTCGCAGATTGTTTATTTCTCAGTACGATGGCGGAAAATACCCTACCTCAGAGTATTGCCCTCAAAGAAACTCGCAGTTCTCGGCATTTTTAAAAGGAAAAGGTGTGACAAAATGGTGATTGTGACTTTCCATCTCGTGACCGCTGGGTTTATTTACTGGAGGGATGCGGCACGTTTTGTGAAATGTATGAAAACAAGAGAGAAACCTAGAGTAGAGGTAAGCAGAAACTCGACCTCCGTGACTCCATCGCAAGGTTACCAAAACACATAGCATGTCAAGCTTGTTCATATTGACTTAAAGTGCCCTAGCTCTCTAATGGCATATGCTTTTCTTTACTTTAGGCTAGACTTGGTATTTTGAGTCTCATTACAAAGACACCACTATATTACGAGATGGACAACTTGTAACGTTAATAATCATGAATTATATAAAGTCATGACTTGTGTGTTTGTTTTCGCTTTAGTTTTATTTCAGCATGTCAAACTCAACTGATCTTTATCTATCAAGTTCAGTTGAAGTGCTGGGATTAAAATCGTGTGGGTAGATTTGATCAATTTTAAATAGATTGGTTGGTCCAGGAGATAAACTGCTGATTGGCAGCTGCATATATATCTACTCCTGTATTCTATAACTGGTAGTAGTGCATAGCCAGCTTAGACCAGTTTACGTAGTGCAGTGATTGATATTTCATTTATTTTACAATCCCAGACAATGCTGTATGACAGACTGGATATATATACATATAGAATAACAACATTGGCTGTGATTTAAGTCCTTTTCATGGTTGTAACAGTAAGTTTTGAGGGATTGACAACTTAATAGCCTATAGCTGGCTATTATGTAAGATAGCCCACTAGATGAAAAAAAGAAAGAAAATGGTGGGCTCCATTTCTTCAATAATTTGTTATTTGTATTGTCATAAAAAAAAACAGAGGATAAATGAAGAATATTTCCAGATTTCCAGAAAGACATGAAAATAATAGCCATTTTAGGTCAGAATTTATTTACTGCAAGTCTTCAAGAAAGTAGGACTACCACAAATTTTCACATGTGTGACAAAGATACAGTAAAATTAACACATTTAAAACATATGGAGCGCATTTATTAACAATCTCATAAATTTGGTCTATTAGTTGGTTTGTTAATGACATAGAGTTATAGGTATTAGGCACCAAAGTGAAAATGGACTACTATTGTGACTAATGACCATTTGTTTAAACCATTTGTTTAATATAGAAGTCTGCTGTTTGGTATAAGTTTGTTTCAGACATATAGATTATCCTCTGATTCTTATTTGAACTTTGCTTTTTAAGGAAAGATGTAAAATAAAAACTTTGAACACATTTTAAAACCATTAATGCTGCTGTCAGTACAATTTATGTTAAATGTAGAAATTTTAACTTACCAAAAAATTGAAATAAAAAGATTTGATCTGCAGCTGTATTTTTATTCATCAATTGAAAATATATATTCTTTACAGAGATAAAGCATTATAATACTTGAATTAATTTTTCCATTTCCTTAGCCTTAAGTGAATATGGCATTTCTTCCAATATCATTGCTTTCAGTCAGCTCAGTCTTTGTAACTGTTTTCAGAAACTCTCCAAGTGCTAATTCAGATGTGACAAGTTGAGAAAGAACTCGGGAATAGCTGACCCCCAAGTAGTTTAACTTTAAACCTCACTGTTTTAATGAAAAGAAATGGTACATATAAAGGCATACAGCAACTTCAAAAAACCTTAAATTCCATGGCTGATGTTAGCATAAAAGATTTCCCCCATGACAAAAAGTAATTTACTTGGCTAAGGACCTTGGAAAACATTCAATTATATATTTGCTATTCTGGCTTAAACATACAGCCGTTAGAATCTTTTGGGTTTTGGCTCAAAACAGAAAAAAAGAAAAAAATTGATGTGAGACTGAGCCCATGTGAGCATAGTTTTTGATTGAGAAATAGGTTTATTTTACAAGTCCTTTGTGTACAGTTAAAAAAAAAGATAAGAAAATATGTCTCAGATAAAACATATTTTAGCTACCTTACATATTGGTATACCTTTTAGTGATTTAGTCAACACCAGAAAAACTGTATTCCCCATAATCACCCATACATTCATGGCTACCATAGCCGAGTAGGGTTACTTAATTAGTTGTTCTGTTTGCCAAATATTATTGGCAACAGTAGCTGTTTATGTGGGACCCTTGCTGTTTCATAGACGGATAAAAGTATTTAGATTTCCTTTGGTTTTTTCCTCATAAATGCAGCAGGCTAAATCATTTTGAATGGTATTTTATGTATAAAAAAATCTCTCCTAAAGCATGGGAAGGGGGGGGGCATATCAGAATTTCCTTCTTGTAGCATTTTTCAAAATATTTCTTGTTCTAGTGGGAGCAGAAAGACATCCTTGGGTTTTGAACTATATTAATTCTTCTTGAACTATATTAGTTCTTTGTTTCAGTGCCAAAGCAAAACATGATCTCTGTTTATGTAAAACCACAGTTAAATCATATTGCTTATAAATGAGTCTAAAATGAAATGTGTTAATTTACCAAAGGAAGTTGTCCCTGCTTCTGACTATACTGTATAGAGCATTGCAGAGTGTGCTAATAAGTAATATGAATGTTTTAATGACAAAATCTTTACCAATGAGTTCATTAGAGGAGATTGTCTTTCAATACTGTATATTATAATATTTATGGAAATATTTACTAATGTCTGTGTCATCAAGCAAAACGAGTTCATTTCCTTCACATCACCTCTGAGACACATTGACATTTGTTAGAGCCTACTTGCCACTATAAAACTATCTGACAGAAAATTTGTAATGGACCTTATGATTTGGTTATGTCACTTTGGTAATTTTCTACCTAATATCTTTTCTCCTACTGTTAGTATTTGGAAGGAGATTATTAGAGGATACTATAAACCTTCATGATACGCTCATTTGAAAGTTGAAACTCAGTCACGTCTGGGCTAATGCAGAATTTTTGTCATATACGGTATACTCCATATCATTCCGTAACCCTGCAGTAAATGACTGCATAACTGATAATATCTGTGAGAAGTAGAGCAACACAAAATTTAGCTACTTGTTATTGAATTATTAAGCATCATTAAAAAGAGAATAAATTGCTGTATTTTATTGGAAATGTTCAGTGATTATGATGTTGTGCTTTCAGCGTGCTGGGATAACAGGCCAAACAGGCAGACAACTTAAACATAAATGTCTTTTTTTATGACAGGTTGCTATAAATCATAAAGTTATAAAAGGGAAACATGGAAGTGTGATTAATATTTCTGACAGTACATTACATGTACAGTACCAGAAATGTGAAAGCTCTAGGATAAGGATTGATTTTTGACTATTGTATAGATCTATATTTGAACAGAGAAAATTATTTCACTGTATGCCAGTTTATTTGAAAGGAGACTGGAATCCTTATAAAGCATAGAGTTGCCTGTATGTTACATTTTATTTTAATGTAATTAAATGCAGTAAGAAAGAGACATTTTCAGAGATTAAAATGAGAAAAATGTGGGTGGACATTAAAGGGAAATTTGACCTATTGGACAGTGTACATTACCAGAAATTGATTTTCAATCACATTAATCAGTATACGTGTATTTTCTCCACTGTCTGTTGCACACTATGTATTCTTTCATTGCAGTTCAATCTTATGTGCAGTATTTACCAAGTTATGTCCTTGTTTATTCCATTGAAAAATCATGAGTTTGGAGAGTAACAGATATAATTGTCTTGCAATAAGCTCTGTCTTGTTGAGTTGAGAATTTCACAAGGAAAAAACAGAAAGCAAACCTGGCAAGACAAAATAAAACAATAGTAATAAATTATGATTTACTGATTAAATAAAATGACAGACAGATATGAGAAAATTTGTCTTTGAGTTTGAAGAAGGGAGTAGGAATAATTAATTTTAAAAACTCTTGTATCAGGAAAGCATCATAAAACAATGAAAAATGCCTTTGTTGATAAATGATGTTGGCAAATTTTTGAGTCAGGACATTTTGAGGTTGAATATAAAAATTTAAGTACATTTTTTTTGTTGTTTGAAAGGGTAGGAGGTTTGACATTATTCAATATTTGATTTGTACGTAATGATAATTGTCTTAGACCTCATATATAAAAGATCACAAGATGAATTCCCAAGAAATTTATTACATTGAAATTGAAAGGGATGCAATGGTCAGTGATACCTACAAGTTGGAAAGTATTTTTTGTGTCAGAACCCAAGCATGAGGAGGATCCCAAGTAAGCTTCCTAGTTAAAGTTCATAGTGTTCAGTTTAGAATCATGCAAGTCAGTAGAAGAGCTTTTCTTTAAAAAATGCTTAAAACATATAGATTAAGGTTGGGAGTAGAGCTTAATATCCTCCACAGACAAGGTCAGCTGGGAGTAAAAAATTAACACCTGGTCTTAAATTTATGGATCTTTTCAACCCTTGACTGATCTCACGTCCCTGGGGAGCATTTAAGCCAAATTGTTGCACATGTGGTGCTTGGAATTATCAGCCACAGTTCAAGTGGTTCCATCACTAGGTCTTAACACCTTGCCTCATCTTCTATATGCTGAGTGCTTTGTGAGGAGACAGCAGGCTTTTTTTAATGGTCTTTGGTGTTACCTGGACACCAGAGACAATTCCCTCCCAGAACAGCCATGCTTCCAAGCAGCCACAAGAGATATCAAGGAAGGAGCGAAAATGCATCCTATAGAGTTCGTATCGGTGGGAGACAGAGATAATTATGTTGTATTTGTGGTTGAAGTATTATTGTGTCAGGATTTGTTTTGAGGAAATAAGACATAAGAGTCTGGACAAGTTACAGCTTGTGGTTGGGGAGACCTCTTACACTGGAAAGAGTTTGTGTTAGAACTTGTCAAACAAAATATGGTTTGATTTAGTCATAGCCATTTTATATTTAAGAGGAAATTAATAGTTACATTGGAATGATGTCTGCATGATATTTCCCGTTAGTCATAGACAGGTATTTTCTCTCTTTCTTTTTGACCAAACAGTTTCATATCTTGCAAAGGTTTGGCAAAATGTATATATATTTTTTTCCTTCCTTCTTTCTTTTTTCTTTATTCATTTTGTTATTATCATTTAGGCTATTTTTTTGTTATCTTCTCTGGCTTTTGACAAATCTATATTTTTCAGTCTGACACTTAGAGCCTGTGAAATAAGATATCACTTTTTTTTCATCTCTTAACTTCAACCGTTTTTATCAGCTATCTACTGCATGTTTTGCAATATACATCAGGTTTGATTGAAACAGTTGGATAATGCTTTATTCATGTGGTAGATCGAAAACTGTAAAAGAGAAGTCTTTTGGTCTTAAGAAACTTACAGAGTTTTATTGATTTCTGGCAATCACTGCAACATCAGCACAATGCCACAGCACACATTCACACTGATAGGGCAACTGTTTCTCAATTTTTTTCTCCCAACAAGTGTCAAATTGATAGTTCTTAGAAGTTTTAAAGGAAATGTGCCTTAGTTTGGAGACTGTATGTGCTAAGACACAAAGTTAGTTTTTTATTGTGCTTGTATGCTGAATTTAGCCTAATTTTATATATTCACGGCTCCTGTCGCTTGTATATTTTTTTCTGTTTAAGCAAAAGAGTTTTACAAATCAGTAATACATTTCAAATAAACAAAGAAAAGGGATAAATAGATAAAGAAATGTTTCTGTTTTTCTGCGGTCAAAGCTTAGCATCTTTATAAGATTTTGGCATACATTTCATTTGCTCGCGTGATGCGGCATATATTTCCTTGAGGTATTTCATTAGGTCAAAAGGTGGTAGCCAACTCATGATAGCGGAGTCTGATGTTATAACGCAGATGAACACACCCTCAAGGAATAGCGGTAGCAGGAGAGAGACCTTAATGATCTGATGGTGACATTTTCCCTTTTGGCACACATATATGACATATGGGTCACTCACGACCCTCAGTCTTCGTGTTAATCCTTATCTCTATTTTGTGTCAACAGATAGAACACATGTAGGCATCTTTGCACTCAAATCAGGCAAAGTCTGTTTTTCAATGGGTATGGATTTTAACTTATGTCAGATGGTCAAATTACAGTCTTTGTTTTATTTTTATATTGAAAAATATTCAGTAAGAAAAGACTTAAATTTTGAGAATTAACAGGCATCAGTTTGATTGGGAGATGATTATATGTAAACATATTATTGTTTCAAATTGTTTCAAACCAACTGCCATTTTTTAAGAAAGTCATTTAAATTGTTATTATTATTATTTCCAATTTTTGACCTATTAGGTCAAATATTATTACACCTCAGCATTTGCTGTATAAACAGAATTAAATGTGATATTAAATAATCCTATAACATGGAAAAGTTTTTTAAAAGTATATTATAGGAAATGTTGATAGTATTCCTTTTTTGAACAAAACTATTTTGTATGCTGTTTTACATGCTTGAACTAAAGTAAACAATGTAAGCATATTTTATTCTGGGGCCACCCTTTCATATTTTTTAGTTTGCCAAATAACTAATATTAAACTAATCATACAAAATAAATAGATCAAAAAGAAAAAATATTGTCAAATTTCTCATTTGCTAATGTATATTATATTTTTTATCCATTGCATAAAAGCAACATTTTTCAAGTCATAGCCCTTGTAATATCTGTTTGCCTTGTTCTGGCTGCATTGTATAGTCATTTATCACAGCTAAATGTGTCCTCATTTGATGTTAACTAATATACTTCTCACCTGGCTTCTTAATATTATCCTTGTAGGTGAATCTTTTAATAATGATTATCTTTGTATGGCTAATACCCTTGTATTACAGAGGCCAAAGGGTTATCAGGCAGTGATACCAAAATAATCCTCATAGCCAATATAAAGGGCTCTATATTGTTTACAGAATTACCAGTTGTGGCAAGAGGCAACAAAAACATCTTGTTTATTTTCCTCAGTGCATCCTTTGCTAAAAAAGAAAAAAAAGTAAGAAAAAAAAAAGACCACTGTGAAATTGAACAAAATTCTGGATTTTAATGCAATTTTACTTTTAATTTTAGCCCACATCAGGTCTAGATCTAGATAGATGAACATAATAGCATCACTCAATGACATGTAGTTTATAGAGTTCCCGCCAGAATCCGCCACAATCTCAATGCCTTGCTTTGATTTGATTGTATACAGTTCGGTGTGTTTGATTTTGATGGAAGTGTTGCTGACATGCCATATAGCTGGAAGGATTTCTCCATGTAGATGTGTTATCTCCTGTGAGATTGTGTGCGTATTTTCCTGCAAAGATTTCTACGTATCACCATCTGGTGCGCCGAGTTCTGCCTGCCGATACGTAATAGGTTGAAATCACAATATGGGGACTGATGCACGGGACCCAGTTCAGGTGAGGGTTTAAAGATATATTAATTATCCAAGTAGCATGGAAAAGGAAAGGGGAGGGGTACAAAGTGTGGTGAGTATTATACCTAGAACAAGTCTTATCTAATTTACAAAAATGGATTTACTGCAGTGAAGATAAGAACTGAAATATACTGTAGTGGTATCTGAATAAACGGGGGGGTGAACAGGGAGGGAGAAGGGTTACATGTAGTCTGAGCAAGACCCAAAGTCGGCTATTTTCCAGGCTAAAATCGGAGGATGGATGCTACAAAAAGGATACAAAATATAATAGTTATATACAGTATGTAAAGTAAGAAATGCAGAGGAAGAGGGGCGGGGGTCCATGTAATGTGTGATCTTAAATCATTTGTTTTAGTTGACTAAATTGTATGTTAGGGCACAATCAGATTCACACATAGTAGCTGGGTCGTTCCAACTCTGTGGAGGTTTCTGGCTAAAGTGCAATTAGTGGAATCAGCTAAACAGCAATTGTTAGTTCACTACCCTGCACGAGGAGGCATGTCAGACAATTAAGGTGTTTCCATTGATTGCACTCTAGCGAGAATCCCCTGCAGAGTTAGACTGACCCAGCTAGAACAATGTGTGAATCTGAATGCAGTCTTAAAGACCTTTCTGGGATGTAACTTACATTGAGTACCCTGATAGCCCTTGTAAAAGCAGGGATAGTTATAGTTGAAGCTAAATTTAAATATCCAAAGTTACATACTAGTAGACTACAAAAATTGAGGACTATTAAGTGTTTTTTTTTTCTCAAAATAAAATAGCCATCCGTATATTGAGTTAAGCTTTAGACTGAGACCCTTTTCACATTAAATGGTATACTTTGGTCTTGAGAGATACAAAAACTACTTTTGTCATATTCTGTTAAGTTATCGATGGCAATACTCTTTGCCAAATTGTGTACACTGTGGCATGATATTAATTTTCTTAAACATACTGACAGTGACTGTGAAGAAGATATTGAGATGCATCTAGCTGTGGGAAGATGCAATCAAAGGTAGCTTTAGGAATTTCAGTAGACATTATGCGGAATTGGAAAATTAGTTTTTTTCTTAAAGCCAGAGTGCTGTGTTAGAAATATCCCATTTATTACCCACTTAGATCAGGCTAAAAAAGTTAACTGGGTCTAATTCCCTAAAGGCCCAACATGCCATGTCCTTTGTGAAAAACCATTACTCTTCTTTGTTGACACGCAATAATTCTCTGAACTTAGATTCTGTCCTTCTGTCTCAATATTATTTATCGGTATACTTTGCAAGGAAACTGAAAATTGTTTTGTCTTGCCCTGATTATGATTTTTTGGAAAGACTTTTTGCTATAAGATTACAATTTAACCCTTGATTGATAATCTGATAATCAGATACCATATGAAAAGCAGATAAAAGTTCAATATGTTCATTAAGAATTGGAAGCCACAGTCAGATGCTAACATTAAAATGGATCTACCATCCAGTAAGCTGCCTGTATTGTGTGTGGGAAATTGCCAACATCAGAACAACAATCTTTAGGTCTTTTTGTGTTTTGGGAGGAGTGTGTATTGGACCCTAATCCTTTTTTTGAAATGAGGGTCTATAGAAAATCGGATAAATCGATTTTGCATTTTAAAAACACATTGTGTGTACCATAAGGTGGATCAGAGATTAGATTTCACACAGTTGCCTCAATGTTAAAGAAGTCAATATTTGCAGCAAGATAACCAAATTGAGAATGTGTGAACTAGGGCCGGATTTTCCTCATTTAAATGGTGTATGTCTGGACCAAAGGGTTATAGGCCTAATCTCATTCCAACTGCTTTTGTCTTCTTCAAGATGCTGCTGTTCAATCCACATATTTCTTTTTAGGATAGATACTTAAGAATGTGCAAACATCCCAACCTGCCTTCATTTGAAGATTGCAGGAAAATTTCTATTTAAGATTCCTGGGGTACTAATATTTACCCAAGATTTTCATTGATGTCATTGTAATGAAAAATTCTTCGGGAGTTAACACTGCATTTGTAACCCTTTTAGAGGTATATGGAAATTTGTATTAATTGTTTGATGCATGATAAAAAATGGCTGCATTGAATCAAACAGTATACCACCACTCTGCTAGCATTGTCACCTTCCTGCTTATTTAAAACTGAAACATTCACGGCCAGCTTCCTCATTTTAACACTAATGTGCAAGTTACATGTTTCTGGTTATCAAGCTTTCAGTTAATCAGTTTTCCATGCTGAAAGGCTTGAATTATTCTTGATTGCCTGACAATAAGACATTGATTATTAATTTAAAATATGCTTTTAATCAAGATAATAAAATCTGGTGCCTGTGTGGTGAAATTAACATGCTTTTTATCTTGGACAGGGGAGAATATTCATTCATTTATAGTAATTTCCTTTATAATATGTTGTTTTCATGCTTGCTTCCACATTTAGGCATTCAGTTTTCTCTGCTTCCCTTTCCTGAACTCTTTACACAGTTTGAAATTTTATATGTCTGCATATATGTCCTCTAAATATGTGCACAGAACTTGTATAAATATCTTGGACAGGGGAAAATATTCATTCATTTATTAATATAGTAATTTCCTTTATAATATGTTGTTTTCATGCTTGCTTCCACATTTAGGCATTCAGTTTTCTCTGCTTCCCTTTCCTGAACTCTTTACACAGTTTTGATATTTTATATGTCTGCTTATGTGTCCTCTTAATATGTGCACGGAACTTGTATAAATATGTACACAGGTAGTGATATTTGGGCACACACTTTAGTATGTGAATGGCGAGCAGATAAGGCTGACCCATATATCTGGTTCAGAATGTGGTTTCGTTATCTTCACAAACATGCACCCACGTGCACATGCGGCAAGTGCATTTTAGCATATCTGTTTGTTTGTTTGTTTGTTTGTGTCTGGTAGAAGTGAATGGATGCACTGGTGTGTTTGTATGAAACAAACAAACAAACAAAAAAAAAAGAAACTTTTAAAATTTTGCAGCTGATGTTATATAGAATCCTTTAACATGATGGATAATGATCACTGTAATTTATTATTTCCGATGAATCGGCATCTGAGTTGGAGAAATTTAACTTTTTTTAAATATTAGTTTATAGTCAAATATAATTGTTTACCAACAGCATTTTTGATTCCTCTAAATCAGATGCCCTTTAGTTGTATGCAAGTATAAATATTATGTTAGACTATACAGTATTTTGGCATGATATCATCTTTTATTTCTTTGTTTAGCAGTGCAAAGAAAGTTGTGACTACACTATTAATTGAAACTTATGTGCCTAATGTAACCCGTGTATTGTTAAATGATACGCATGGATTCATAGGCAAGCCAAGCTACTTTTTTAATCAAGAAAGTGCAGTGATGAAGATTGGAATTATCTATAATACGTTATCATTAGATTTGTGTTTATTTCCCCTGCCCTGGCAACACATTAAGATCATTTTGACAAGGATATATTTTATTTAGGATTGTAATTTATTTCTTAGTGAAAGATCCCATTAGTTGTAATCTTAAACATGATATCCTACCAAGAAGAGATATAATTACATATGTATATTATTTTTTAAAAAAATTTGGGGAGGATGTGTGCGTATAATCCAGCCATTGGTAAATGAATGGGATTATTGTTATAGATATTATAAATCTGATTCTTTTTTTAGACTGCTTCACTCCAGTTGAGTCGAGTGCTAGATCTGGAACAGTTTCGTACTACCATTAAAGATGCTGTGGCATTGGTGTTGCCTAATGTGGTAAGTTAATTTGTTCATCTTGAAAGTCAATACAAGGAATTCTTATTAAAAAAAAAGAAAAAAATGCACCAAGTTCAGTCCTAGCCCTTCCAATGTCTTCACTGTTGAAAGAAGTTGATTTAAGAATGTAAAAACTGTGAAGTGCAAGTCACCAGCATGATAATAAAATGAAATGAGATTATATTATTAAAAATAAAGTTTATTTTGAAATAAAATTGCACAGAAGCAGTGTGCCTGGTCATCACATTTTTGTTCAAGATCAGTCTTCCCTCCCATAGAGATGGAAGAAATCATCTGTCTTATAGAACGTGCTAGGCCTGCTTAATAGTGAATTTTAGAGAAGGGGAAAAAAAGCAATATTTTTCAGAACCTGTAATTCTCAGTGTGCATAAACCTTGAAGCTGAGAATGAAAGCGTAATTCTTCTTTAACAAAATGTCCCTCAGTGTGAACATAAAGCACCTTCAGTAATCTGATAAAAAATGAGAACAGATTGTAATGGGAAAGAGCAAATTGCCAATTTAGGATGATAATTTTGAGCTTAGGTGCAATCAATACTTGGGAAATTAGAGTCGAGTAAGTGCAAGCTTTGCTAGATGTTTGATAGGGATGAAGCTCGGAATAGAATGATATACAAATCAGGCTCACTGTGTGTATCTTCAGTTGCTAAAAAATCCCTGTGTCATGGGAATTTTGTAGAATCATTAGGAAATGTCAGACGGCAAGTAGCACTGTTAGGTCATTAATTTATGGATGATTTATCATGTAGAATGGGTTACATCTTTAGTATACATCTAAATTTCATACCCACAGGGGCTTATTTAGATCTTTCCCTTAGATGTCCCTTAGATACATCTAAATAAGTAGAATCCCATGAGCATGAAATTTAATGAGTTTTGTAAATTGTAGTTTTTTTTCTTTTTTTTTTTTTTTTGCATCAGGCAAGTTTTTTCATGTCTGCGAGTCTGTATAAGAAGAGATGTAATAAGCATTATTAACATCATATTAATCACTAATGAATTTGTCTTCCTATATGTTTCTAGGTCCAGTAGATGAGATTATGTATTGATTTTCGAAGAATTCTGTAGATTCATTTAGAAAAAAAAATTCTTTAAAATATTTACCTTGATAATATACATTTGTAATTTCTGCTTTTGGAGACGTATATATTGTAATTTTCTAACATTAATAAAGCATCCTTATTTTTTTAAATTTTTTTTAGAAATGTGTGACAGCATTTGTCCAGGACCCTTACCACACAGATGACAGCCACAAGTCTGTGCCACTGTGGCTGAATGGAGAGATCAGCCAAGCTTTGCCAAAAGAGGGAATATTATGGTATGTAGCAGTATTTTTATATTTTTATAACCACAAGACTGTGCCAAAGGAGAGTGTATTGTGGTATAGAAATGTTGTTATTTTTGTTATCAAACGTCTGTCGCCATGGCTGAATGGAGAAATAAGCCATGCTCTGGCAGGGGATGGAATATTATGGTAAAGAATTTTTTTATCATGATTGCCAACGTAATAGTACTCTGAATGTGGAGATATGCTGACTGGCTTGGCATTTAAAACTATGATAGCATTTAAAGAACAAAGATTATTTGGTGAAAAGTAAAGCCCAATAATGTGTTACACAATTCTGTCTTTGAAAGCAATTAAGGTTTACCAAATGCGGTTGATAACCTTTTTTGTTACTCGTCCTCAAGTATACCTTTTGGTGCTTTGCTTAAAGAAATAAAACTATATCTATATTTGATGTCTTATGAAGCTAATTTAGGATTGTTAAGTGGAAATGATTAGGATTGATAAGTGGAAATGAATTATTTGGGTTCAACAAGTATAATATTTGCCCTAGTCTAATAAGGATCAGTTGCATCCATCTTCTTGAGGTCCGTCTTCCTTTATCTTACTCATGGTTAAACAATTGTATTTACATTTGTGCACATGCATGAATGGTAATTGAAAATATGTTGTTCAGCTTGCAGCACTGATTCTAATAACGTCTCTGCTTTTTTTGTGTGTGTCTTATGCAGGCAGGCCTATGATTCCAAACAGAGGGTTATCAAGTCTCATCTTGACCAGTCTGACCCAGCCAGACAGCTACTGGACAGTGGGCAGTTCATTAACAGTGGGGGCATTGGTAAGAGGAGAGTGATTATAACTGATGTGCATTAAAGATACTGTTGACAAATGTCGTTTTCTTGTTGGCTGCATTTTCAGGGTGAACTGGACTTTTGGCAAATGGGCATTTTGATTTACTTGATTTACACAGGCCCAGATTTGGCCCATTCCTATTTCACAACCCATGCAGGTTATTTTGAACAGGGGCCTGTGTATCTGTAAAGTGTGAGATGATCGCAGTGTGAGATACTTCCTCTTTATAGACATAATCTTGTGGTCAAACTAATTGCATCAGTTGTGAGATTTCTTAATTCAGGAACAACAACAGCAATGCTTACATTTTCTGAGCCTGTTTGGTAGGAGTGGTTCTCATATAACACATCCTGGGTTGGAATTTAATGCCAGTAGCATTTTTGAAAACTGCTTCTTTAATTTTACTGATTAAAGCACCTCCCTCCTTTTCCCTATAAAGAAGAGCCATTGACATGCAGACTTAACAATTAAGACCTGGAGCGCCAGATGCAATGTGACCCCCCCCCTCTTTTTTTTATTTTCATTACCCAGCAAAATTATTTGAAGAGTCCGTTTTACATTATCTTGCTCTGAGAGTATGGATAGAAGGTTGCAAATTATCTTTAGTCCTAAACTTAAGTTTTTTTTTTTTTAGATACGGATACATGTCGATGTTGATCAGACATTTTCTCAAGTCTTTGCTGACATCTAAAAATATGTTTATGACAAAAAAAATCTATGGTCTGATATATTACCAAACTGATGAACTTATTCCAACAGTATGGATAGAAATTTGATATGCACTTGTCCTTTACATACAATTTTCTCAATTTGAAAATTATTATTGCATGATGTTGTGTTGAAGGTTAAATGGTTTTAAAACTTTCCATTTCATTTGAAATACCTTTGCTCTATTTTAAATAACCATTAAATGGATCTTTTTTCATTCTTGGGTTCTTTATAACTAAGTTATGAATATTACTAAAATATTAAATGTTTAATTTCTAAAAGAATATGATAATCATAATGCACAATCCCATCATGATTAGCAGTCCAATCATTTTCGTTTCTGATTTTAGATAACTTCAAAGTTCATTACAAAATCCATTTTAAGCTCAGTGGAAAAGTTCTACAGGAAAAAAAATGAAAAGGGCACCTTTTCCTTTCAAGTTTTGCATGGTCATTCTTAAGTGAGAATTCCTCTTAACCTAATGTCACATTAACTTGAAATTGTACAAGCAGTTTTTAGAAACATGAAGAGCTTCTCTCAGACATTCCATTGTGCTGGTTCACCAGCATATCAATTGAGATTGATGATAATTTGAAGAAAAAAATCAATTGCTAGCCACTCTGATAGCTATGCAGGTCAATCAGAGGACATATAAATGACCATGTCAATAGAAAATGCTGTAAAAATCCAATGAACCCAAAGTTCAATTCACTTTTAACCTCGTCAGATACAATCTAATGAGATTTAGATACACCTCAGCTTCAATTTACCTAGTTTAAATTGCGCCATGATCATTTTATCCAGTCTTAAGAGACTTTCCAAGTGCCATGGGGTTTATATTCAGTGTGGGCCCTCTTAATTTTAAAACCACCCCTCATTGCCCTGTTATTGCCTGTTTTACCCGATCTTAATGATCCATCAACTGTGTGTCACCATTTGTGCAAACCTGGATGGAATATAATGCAGGTTCATTATTCCAGTGTAATTGCTCCTTCATTGGCATTTTCTTCTTCGTCCATTTCAGTTGTCTGCTCCCCAGTGTTAGAAGATGAACAACCAGTGGTTGTGTTATTGGTGAGTAGAATGATGGAAAGTTAGCTAGTGGGAGCTATTCACCTCGTACCCAAAGCCAATGAGAATTAGTTCTGGAAAATTAACATAATGCAAAATTTATAAATTATAATTTTTTTTTTTTTTTTTTCTGCTAATTTAACAGTAAATGTAGACAATGAAGGAACAAATGCTTGGGTGATATAGGAAGATGTAGAGATTTGAAAACAAAGGACAGAATAATGTAAAAATATTTTTAAAGAGCATTTTTTCATATTATTACAGAGAAATTAAGAAACATGTAAGAATGAAAGAATTTTTTGTCGGAATGCCTGCTTGTATGTGACAAGATATTTTTTATGCACCTTGCTTATTGCTAAGGCAGAGGTCATATATACATGTATATCTAAGATCAGTCTTTAGAGGGGATGTGTTCAAGAAAAGAGATTAAATGAAGATTTATCCAGTAGCTTGCATGCACACACATGCATGTTGTACGCACACACAAGTCTTGCTGAACTTATAGATTTAGCATTTTATCACTAATATAGCATTTAAGACTTTTTGGCAGTTATTATTTATATGATGCTTCTTTCAATTAATTTTGATGTGTACAACCTAAGATCAGTTAATGCTAAGATGAACTAGCATCTAAGTACTATATATAGCTAACACATGAGATATCTACTGTACTCAACATACAAGACTAATTATTATGTCACACACAGTGGACATTGTGAAGTTGTAATTAACTAACCCCATGGCTGGTGCTTGGTACAATGGAATGATTGTACTTGTATTTGGCTCGTAACGAAAAAAAAAAAAAAGACAGGCAAACATGTAAGTGAAATACAAGTGCAATTATCCTATCCCTCGAAGAGTCGGTCATGGGATAATTTGCTTTAAAACGACAATACTCTTGCAGTTAGTATGGAAATGCATCTTTAATGTAGCTTAAACTGTGTGGATAGTGAATTATGAATATTTTTTTTCAGAATGCAAATCATATTAGTTAGATTCATGGGGGGTTAAATACTGCCTCATCATCATCAATCACTTAGATTCTGGAATTTATATTAAGGCATGTTGTGGGAATAGTCCCTACTGATTTGAAAAAGAAATGACTATAAGGGAAATTTAAATCATCTTTCATTTTAAATATCGAAAAAATCTTTAAAGGATGGTTTGACCCTTTGGTGATTAAGCCTTATTCATCAACTATGAACAGGCAAAACAATATTTTCAATAATTTTTCATGTGCAGCAACAAATTGAGAATTTTATTGGATGAAATTGAAAGTTTTTTTATGATACGGTTTTTGTTTGAATACTCTTATATGAGGTGTATTCAAACCCAGAGGCCAGTTTCATAAAAGGAACTTAGGATTGGAAGTTAGTCTCAAATTCTTATTTACTTTGATCCACAGTAATAAATTAGCAGTAGCCCAATTAAATTAAATATTACAAAAAATAAAAAAGCTACTTAATAGTTGTATTCTGTGCAACAAAACAACCACAAATGCTATAAAGAAATATAATTTTTGTGATAATAGAATTAAGTACTAGTACCTGAAAGTTCAGGGGCGGATTTAGGCCGTCTTCTGGGTCTTCCGGAAGACGGTCAGATTTTCAAGTTTACATTGACAGGTATCTATTTTTTCTGTTGGAAGACGGTCAAAATTTGAGGATGGATCAACAAAGATAATTTGGAAGACTGACAGAAAATAGCTCTGGATCCGCCCCTGAAGTTTGATAATTTCTGGCCATTGAAAAGGCTGAATAATTACCATAGGCCTGTATATGACATGTATAAATGTATGTATAAATTAGTGTGCATGGGTCTATACATGGGTCTGTGTGCACAGGTTTGTGTGCGTAGGTCTATGTGCATGAATCTTTGTTCATGGGCCTATGTATGGATCTGTGTGCATGGGCATATGTGTGTGGGTCTGTGTGCATGGGTCTGTACATGGGTCTGTGTGCAAGGGCCTATGTGCATGGGTCTGTGTGCAAGGGCCTATGTGTATGGGTCTGTGTGCAATGGGACTGTCATATGCAAAGTGATCTAGACAGATCCATGCATATAGATTTATGCACACAGATCAGACCAGCTATCCTTGTCTCAAAACTTCTCAGTGCAAAATAATTGAATTACCCTTACTGGAGCCTTCTGCGTATATCTCTTGCTGAGCATTAACAACTTAGTCCCATGTTATTGAAAACTACGTCATTTGGATTTCTCCCAGTTACTAAATGAATTAAGGGGTTCAGTTAAGTTTAATCAGATAAGATAGATTAAAGAAATAAATTACAAAGGATGGGATGTTGCTTACTAAATTTGGAAGCAACTGAGGTGATTAGAAAAAGGAAAAGGCTGTTCATGACGCGCAGAATAATTGGCTAATTTGTAATGGAATGATCTTTTACTCAGGAGACTTACCAGTTTCTATTTCTATTAAAATCAAAGCTTTAAATTGAAATTCTGATTTCAGTTACAGCTGCTTTTCGGTTTATATTTTAAAAGTGCTTCAAGGTGATCAGTTTGGTTTGAAATGATGTCATAGTTATTGTACATACCTGTTATTTTTAGTCATAAGCAAGTTATATTAAGATTTAGCAAGTTAGATTTATACATGCCATGCTTCAATTCACTATGAGTAACCTGTTTCCCTTCGGGAACATATTTGTTCTTTGGCAACTGCTATTGCCATCATTTAATTTAAGAGTTTTAAAGCATGTAGAAAATAATTTCTAATGAACTCTTGAAAACAACTGTTTACAGCAGTTGTGTGGACAGAGATCTGAAAGAAGAACCAACAGGGATAGACCTCTGAATTGTAGGTAAACAAACTCATTAAGACCTGAAAGAGGTTAAGTTTATCTCTGTCTTTTTCTTTTAGTTGTGACAACCCTCTAAGGGAACTGTATGCAGCCAGGGACCAATTTTACAAATGAACTTAAGTTTTAGGCTCAACTTTATCAAAAAGTTAGTCTACTTGAGGCCAAGATATGTTAGTCATAGTCCACTTGAATTATATATAAATGAAGTATTGGTCTGAAACTTATGACCCATGTCTTTTTTTTTATTATAAAACAATAGCAGGATTTTAATTTGTTCTAATACCACATATTTATTTTTGGTCAAGCTCCTTAAATGTGGGTTTAAAGGTGCAGGACTTGGGCAGGGGTGGGGGTTGGGGGTGGGAGAGGGTTCTTTCATGAAATAGGCTTATTGGCAGTCAGCATTTGGAATATCTAAACTCCCAGTGACTGCATGTCGAAGCTTTAAGATAACTTAGTTAAAAGCACATTTTAAGACAACAGAGCTACTACATTATACAAAATTATTTCCCCACTATGATTGTCCTCTTTTCTATATGGTGACTGCAAATAATAATTTAAAAGATAATAACTGTCTGACTTTAAAAACAGATTTGATGACCTAGGATCTTGTAGAATATTACTGACATTTTTCTTTATATCATAATACCTTGGTTTAAGAAAAAAAGTTTATCCAATTATAGTTATTGAGCACTATACTTTCTAAGAATTCAAAATGAATGTAGTTATATTTCCAACATCAGTGAAACGAGATATATTACTTCCAAGAAAATAGATAGTTGAAATTAATTGCACATACTTAATATGTCTGATATTGTTAACCATGTGTGTCTCTTGGATAGAATGATAAATACACTTTATCAAGGAATAAGACAAGAAGGTCAAAGAAAATATTAAGACAAGAAGTTACACAACCTGATTAATTTGAGTATTAAATATGAGTTTAAATAACAAGATTCTTCTTTTTTCATCAATCAGGTTGTGTACTTCAAAATGTTGGCTATTAATGTTCCAGAAAAAAAAAGTAGAACCAGAGATAAATTTTTAACCCAGGTCTTTATACCCAAAAACTTCAGATTCTTACAGCTAGCAATTTTCAGGCTTTCCTACAGGCTTTCTTACCACTGAAATTTATCATAGCTTCACTCCAGCTCATTCAGTTTCTTTTGTCTTTTGGTTCCATTACATTAATTAGTCTATAGTGCATGTACTTAATGGCCAATCTTAAATGCAGATGGCACTTTCTTACTGCTAATCTAAATAAGATCATAAAGTTGGGGTAGAGAATAAGCAATTATGAGGAAAAATTATCTGCTGTGGATTATACAAGAAATACACAATTTGCCAGTTCCTCAGCTTGTCATTTTCTCATTATTCTTGTGAAGATTATGAAAGCAAATGCAATTTTCAGGGTGATTACCTCCTTACAGACTGTCTGAGACATGTCAATATATAGAGACAAGCAGAAGTAGAACAAAATGTTAATGAAGCTCAGTTTTGATAACCAGTTAGACATTTGTAGGAGGAAATGAGAGATGTACTAGTAGTCTATGGAGAAAATCAACATTAGAATAGCTGTTAGATGGATTTTTATGCACACACACACACACATGCTACTTATCCCTTAGCAAAATGAAAAGTTTGCAACAATATTGCAGAAAAATTGCAGGAAATGCAGGAGTTTGCAAGAAAAATTGGTACTGTAGTTAATTTGCAACAAATTTGCAATAAAAAACTAAGTTTGCAGCAGGTTTGTTAGAAAAGCCTTTATGTTCTGGCAAATTAGCAGCAAATTTGCAAGAACACATTAAGTTTGCAGTAAGTTTGCTAGAAAGTATTCAAGTTCTTGCAAATTTGCAACAAAATTATTGTAAATTCACAGCAAATTATAAGCAAACTTGCAGCAAATTTACAGGAATTTCTTGCAAAATTGCAGCAAATTCGTAGCAAATTTGCAGTGAATTTGCAAGAGAGTTTGTGGCAGGCCTAATATTTTGCTAAGGGATGTTGTTGTCATTTGTGTCATCTTTCCCACCATTAAAAGGGGCTTATTGTGTAATGCTAACATAGCTGTTATATAAGTTGGGTTTGTTGTGCATCACATCTGAATTGTCAAGAGAAACGACACCTCTTATTTCTGATGGAGAAATTTCATGAAAACAAATTTCCTGCTGCTTGTAATTG